GAGAGACTTTCCCCCTGAAATCTTGAAGTAGAGGTCCTAACGGATCTCTGGGTTGTATTTCTGTAGTTTCAGGTGTGTGTGTGTGTGTGTTACGCTGCACTGTGCGACCTCCGAGTGCGCTCCGAGTGGACACTTGCAGTATTTCTGGGAGTGACAGTCGCCTGAGAATTCAAACTCATCAATAGTCTGTTAAACGTGACACTTTGTACCCTGTGTGTTCCTCTGTCCCTGTGGGTTCGACCTTTCTACCACTATATTGCAGTTTTAGCCTTTAGTGGGTTATTACAAGACACGAAAAATTGTTCAGTTAGTTCTTAAATATCAAGATCGTCTCCAAGTTTCTCGGGAACAAGAGGACATAGATAAAATAGTGGAAGAACACAAAGAGCTTCTGGTTTTTGTAAACAGAGAGCATCGTCTTCGAAATGCTTTGAGTAGGTTGACTGAGCAGTCTGATTTTTGTGAAGCTTGGAGTACTCCAAATATTAGGAACAGGTTTCCTCGACTTATGGAATTTGTAGGAGGATTAGCTTGTCCATTTCCTAATACTGCTACGGTAGAAAGTGATTTTTCAGTTTTGAAATGGGAGAAAGATATTCATAGGTCCAATATAACTCCCATTTCTCTTGAAGGTATATTCCACTGTCGTCAAATTCAAAGTTTATTAAAGAAAACATGACAGATTTATGTCATGTTCCGTATGTTCCTTATTTTGGTCTGAAAATGTTCCTTATTTTGACGAGATACGGAACATAAGGAATTCGCCCTATATAGAGAGGCCTGAACATGGTGTTAGACTCAGAGTAGATCTTGACTTTGTTGGAACATGATGTTAGAAGGTCAGAGTAGATCTTGACTTTGTTGTGCAAGCGAAAAGTAAACGTGTGTGATTGGAACATGGTGTTAGAAGTTCAGAGTAGATCTTGACTTTGTTGTGCAAGCGAAGAGGAAACGTGGGTGAATGCGTCATTGTGATGATATACTTGATGACGTCACACTGACAAGTGAAATTACAAATTTCTTCTTTATTAATCCATTTATCTGGGATGTTTGATCCATTCGAGCAAGTGGCTGTATTCTGACAGGTGAGTGTCACATGCGTAGTCAGCTTGGTGTAATAAGCATGTAACGCTTTTTTCTTACTTTGAAGACCATTACAGTTGTCTACGTACATAACTGTAGGTTCAAAAGAAACTGATAAGCTTGCTGGTAATTTACTGAACATGATATTTAAGACAGTGTACAGAGCATAACCAGTACTCGAGGTTCTCAACTGCTGGAATGATTGTTATTCTACCACAACTGTCAAGCATATGAATCCATGCACAGTCTGGAGTCCAATGGTGAACGAGAAAAAGAACTTTTTAGAAGTGTTCCAGTTGGTGCAATTATTTCACTCACATGTTATCTTCAAATTCTCATTGGATTGAATAAAAAAAACATCATTTTGCTGCACAAGCATAGACGTGGAAAGTCTCTTTTACTCACTTTGATGAACCAAGCTCTATCTTACATAATCACTGGTGTTGAGTCTTAGTGCAACGTATTCTTCAAAACGTGTAAAAAAATCTAAGAAACTCACAACCATATTCTTTGGTCCTTAGTGTTCAAGTTGTTAAATATTTTATAATTTGTCCGAACCCAATTGGAAATTGTTAAGCATATTATTTCTCACTCCCGGCTTTTTTTGAACTTACGCCAATTTACTCTAGTAAAGACGCTGGGCTGGACACTTTTGATTTTTTTGTGGTACCTAACAATCAAAATGCACAGTTGATCGCTTGCCCTGCAAAGTTCTCTAGAATCACGCCACCTTCCTCTCTCTGCTTTTTGAACACGCACTTGGAGACTCCGTGCTATCGAAAAGGCCCAAATGCCGCCGACCTACGTCACGAACCAGAACACGGAGCTCCTGAGACGAACCCACATGCACTCCTTGCCGTTCCTGCTGCTCCTCCTCCTCTTGGCGTGACTGCCGTAAAGTCTTCGCACCTTGTGAGTCATGTAGAAAACTCGCCATGGCCCCCATCCTCCTTCCCATTGTCACTGAAGCATAGAGTACAAAATTTCTGGCCTTGCCACATCGTCTCCTCTACCTTACTGTCTTAACATACATAACGTATAAAGTACCTAATATCCTACTACCGCCATCTTATTTTATTTTATTTTTCTCTTTTTAGTGTTCTAATATCTTCTACTCTTCCTATCTGATCCTAAGTCACTGCGAGCACACAATTGAGCTAAGATGACAGAGTCTAGTCTGGTCACCTTATGCATGGCCTTCATGATCTCAACGTAATCTGCCTGCAATGGATACAATACTCTTAATGCAAATATGAATAAGCTAAATATGTTGATTACGTATATGAATGATATGTTACCATATAACATAAGATAATTTTAAGATAATTAATTATAATTATCAAATTTTTTTTGGATTTAAATTTGTAATTATTACTATAATAGTTTTCAAATTAAATAAATAAGTAAAATAAAAAATTCAACAAAATTATAGAGAATTAATGATTTTTTTTATACCTAAAGATTTTGGATTTAGGAATGTTAATGAGAATGAGAGCATGTTTAACTATAAATTCCAATAGTAAATTTTTGGTTGCACTGCCAAAAGCTCTATATAAAAGACAAAATAATCTTTAATTTTTAGACCAGAAAATTTAAATTTTCATAGTTTGAAGATGTTTACAAAAAATCCAAGTGCAAATAATGTATCATTTATATATTCAAGTTTCTTATGATAGCTTAAAATTCATCATATACATTTTGTTCACTAAACGTTTTCTGGTTAAGTATTTTGATCTATAATCAATTAAGATATAATAAAAAACTTTCTTGGAAAATTTTTAATTCTCAATTCTTGAGAAGTAATCTAGCTATGTTTGAAACTTTATATAATATTAAAATCGTATAACTTAGCATAAAAATGATAATTTTGGATTAGGGTTATATTTATGGATATCAAAAATTAGTTCTCAATCAAAGTTATATATAAATAATTGATATATATGTACAAAAATTAAAATATTTGTAAAAATATTTCTGAATCTAAAGTACATGGTAATTATTTTTTATTTGAAATTAATTTCCAAATAAATATGATGTTTTAGACCTCAAATAATACAAATATTGAAAATGAAATTCTTATTTTTTTATTTCAAATTTATTTCCAAAGAAATATGATGTTTTAGAACTTAAATGATACAAACATTGAAAAGGAAGTTCTTATTTTTTATTTCAATTATTTGTTTTTTCTAAACGTTGTGAGCAATTTTCCAAGAAACTATTCAGATGATTTCAATTTATTTAGGAACTCTTTATTTTTACTGATGATAATGGTTTATTTGATTGTCACGAAAATCACGTTAGGTTTTTTGTATTTCACTTTAATTTTGTATTAAAAGCACATTCCCATATTTATCGTGTTTCATTTTGTCGTGGTTGAGGTTGGAAAAATTTTAAAATGTTATTTATTCTTTTCCAGCAAATGAGGATTTTAGTAAATAACCAAGAATTACACTAAGAGTTAAATTTGTAATATTTCTTATATCTCCACCACCTGGAGCCCATGTTTCATAAATACCGCCAAAACATAAAGCTTTAAATACTAAAAGAAAAGCACCAGCATTGATAATAGACTTACTCCGATATAGCACTATAAATTTGGCTATAACTTGAATGTACTAATGAGTTCTTTCGAACTAACTAATAGATAACTTACTCAAAGAATTTAGCAGCAATTTATCAAGAATGCCCTAGTAACTACTCCTATTAAGGCTAGTAAGAAGGCCCCACAGCCTAAAGCGGCCAAAAACATATAGAATTTAATTCTGTTCAACTGTTCCATGCCGGGGTAGAAATCTTACTTAGATGGTTTCTAGCCCGAAATGGAATTATTTCCTCCAAGTCTAATTCAGATGTGAAGACGTGGCAGGTGGAGTGGTGAGGGAGACACTTAAGAAGTAGACTTATTTTAACTTTCACGATAAATGGAGTGATATGTAAACAACTCAGTGACGGGTATGAATGTGGCCAAAACTGTGGTGTTATCTCTGCTCGATGTCTCAAGATGACATCATTTTCAGTCTCTACTCTCAGACACTTTTGTGTGCTTATAGACTTGCTGTACCCATTGATTTCAATGCGCTTTGGTATCAGATGTAATAGCTCATATAACGAAATTTCCCAAGATATTACATCGAGTTTCCTATGAGAAAACTTTTGCTCTGAGAACATGAAGGCATGTGAAGGGTTCAAAAAATAAATGTGTTAATGATGTTATACAGTATAGCGCCATGATAACACTCTCACAAATCATTGTTATTCCAGACATTTGAAGCTGCAGTTCTTTGGCTGTTACTAGCAATATACTTGCAAATCTTTGGACGATTGCAAGCATCTTGACGCACCAAAGAAAAAGTCTAGTGGAATTCATAAAATTCTTGTCAGAGGACATCCACGAGACGGATGTGACCATATTATTAAACAAAGTAGCTTCTTCATCTAAGAGGAAACACTTTTGCCACACGTTTTTTATAGGTATACATACTCATCAGAAGGGATAACTGATTCCTCCGATTCGAACTTTGTCGCAATTAGTAAATTTAAACTTGGGCATTTTATTGTGATTGCAGATTATCGAATTCCAATCTGAGGCTGATAAGATGAAGTGCTAAAGATCACTGAGAAAATTTGTTATTTTGTTGATGTAGATCATCTTCTTGTAACTGCAACATACAGCAAACAATTACAGAGCTACGGCATGGTTTTCACAAGTTTAGAAATTTGGAAGTGGTGTATGCGGATCGTAATATATTTGTCAACGCACGCAGGACGATTGAACCTACAGACAAAAAGATCACCTTTCTTTAGATCACCAGTGGAAGGTATACGGAGCGATAAAACTTTCAGTGATCAGTACTTTCTATCGTGTTGAAACATCTCCGAAGTCCACCTTAACCGTTTTCTTGCATCGTCAGTGGCAGTTGCTTTATCAAATAAAGTCACTTCTGAGCGGTTCTCGCCCTAATGTTTGAAGACAAGCGAGCTGAGTGAACTCTTAGATCGAAAAATCGGATTCGCTCCTTCTCGAAAGGGTGCCTTGGATTTCGCGAAGGCATTTCATGTCCTGAATCCTACGATGTGGGTCCCGGAAGCTGCTGAATCATATGTATCCTGAAGCTGATCAGGTTTTGTAACTGAGATATGATCGAAGCGGATGCTGCTCTGTGATTCGACGGGAGTGAAAACTTGTCATTATAAGGCTACGAAGAAGCACGCCCGTTTTGACAGTAAGGATTCGGAGAGACGCCCGAGTCCAGAGAGGCTGCACAAATTAAGTTTATGACGATTCCGACCTTCATCCTGTTGAGGTTTCAGAAGAGCAACTGTTAGAAACCTAGCTAATAATCTAGACATCTCACCTTTTAATAGAGAAGGTACCGTCTTTTGCAGGAAATCTGAAGATCATTACACTTGAAAGGGCCCGGGGAGTCATAAACAGATGTTTGATAGTTTACAACACACAAAGCAGAGGATGTGCAGACCACGTACACGAGCGAGCCTTCCGAAGTGATTGTGGAAAGCTCGGGTGACAAACTTGGCTTCTTACTCAGGCAAAACCTCTTGTGGAAGGAGGCTCAACAGGAACTGAATAATGCCCACCGTGATTTTATGGTTTGGGCGAGAAAGTTATTTGTATTCTCTTTTAAAAACTTCTTCCCTCTAATGGATGACATTTTCAACTTACTAGCTTTGACTGATGGATTTGTGCTGTGAGAAAATGAAGATAAATGAATGCTTTAGTGAAGGAAGACAGGAGTAGCTCAAGTGGACCTAGCTTTTGGGCCCCGACACTTCTCCCACCGAGGACAAGGAATGACATCCAACCTTAGAGGAATAGAAATGGGTTGTGGTATATGAGCAAATGATCAGTGAAGTGAGAGCACATGAGACCTTGACGCACAATAACCGGTCAGAGATAACTGTAGGATAATCTACTATGATCGATCCAGTGAGACGTGATTGATGCACCGTAGATTAAAATATAAATGATCTGAGCCAAAGGTGAAGGGGTCCTGACTGCAACGAGGTGGGGCCAGGTTCCGAACAGGTTGTCGTCCCGACCTTGAGAGTTGCAACCCGGACCCAAATTTTCGCGTCAGGGTCAGTGTTGGAGTCGGCGTTGAGTGCCTAGGTTGTAATATGTTCCTAGAGTCAAAACACATCTCAGAGAAGAACTGGAAAAAGCTGGATTGTTAACGTGGGAGAGTGCTACATACACTTAATGGCAAAGAGCACAGATCAAAGCACCACAACTGAAACAAAACCTCGAAATAAAAATGTATCCAGTTCAGATCAATTTTGACATTCATTATAAAGCTTTCAAGACTGGAAAATTGACATCATCATTGATTGATCTAAACATCTCTGCCTGTAAAAGTGGCAAGATGCAGATTGTACAAATTTCGTAATGACCTAACTAATCGCTCAGTGACGCAACGAGCAAATGAACTAAGCACTGGAGTGCTGAATGTCCCCCAGTAATCTACTCTATCTACAAACTGAAGTGGCAAGCCCCATGTTCGTTACAGCAATCTACCTAAGCCGGATATAAATCTAAGTTGATGCTCGCGACTAAGTCCTTCAAAGGACCGAAACAGCAATCACCGCAGGAACATGCCACGACGTACAGGCACTGAACCCGAAAGAATTCCTTCAAACATAGCTCCAACATGTAAGGTAGTGTGGAAAATGTCCGGACGATAAAAAGGTCAGAACAAAAGGTTGAAAGAATCATCAGCCTCACCTGCACTCGTCATTTCTTCTATTGAACACGGACGCTTATACTGCCAGGAGAAAATGATTTTGGGCATAGAGCCACAAAAGAAAATGAAGTCGAGTGTGGCCCTACTTGTGGAGAATGTTCTTCTTCGACCCTTTTTGCCTCTTTGAATTCTGTGTTACAGAAAACATTACATCAGAGCCAGCCACGGATCAGGACCTCAAAATCAAACAAGATCAAAACAAAACCCTTATCATTTGAAACCTTTGACTTGAAGTTCTTAGGACCAAAAAGCTCTCAAACTACTTCATCAGCACTACCTTTTGTTTGTCAAATGCCTCCTGGTCTGTCCTTTCCTTCCACGTACTTTTCCTCAGTTTGATGGGTCTATTACCCACGTACTTTCCTGCGAGTTCCAATAAAAGTTCACACAAACAAAAAGTTAATACGGACTGCGTAGACTAAACACGAAGGATAACACCCAACTTAACGTTGAAGGAGACGCAAAAAGTTCACTTGAAAGATAAGATAACTTCTACGTCTTCTACATCGCAGCACATAGCCCTGAACTTACCATTCATCTCTTTCAGGGCCAGAGCTAGATCAGAGGGATTGGCAAAACTGACGAATCCATAGCCCTTGGTCTTGCCAGTACGCTTGTCCCGTACAACCTAAAAATCCAACGCAATCTGAATGAGACCACCTCAGTACCCCATGTCGGAGCTCTGCCACCTTCAACTGAGTCATTTTCCAGGTAAATGTCGAGGTGGCAACTCGTGGAGATCACATCACCTCTTACAGAACTTATCGGCACTAAGTGCTACATGCATGCAGTCGAAGCTTACTAGGAAATCAAATGTGGGTTACTTTAGCTGACCACTCTACTTCTGGAGATGCAAGCTAAAGACTGTTCTACATTTGCTAAAATAAACTTCACTAAGATGTTAAAGAATGTCACATACTCACATTCCAAACTACAACTGAAGCAAGGGGAACATGTCAACATCTGTCCTAATTTTGGTAACTAAATGAACTGATAACCTCTGGTCAAAATGCCAATAGAAGACTAAAGGAGCCGTATCGCACAATCAGACATGTTTAAGTCCAACTAGATAATACAAGGTACACAAAGATCTCAAAACTCGTAAGTGGCACTTCTTACAACAAATACAGATGAAGCCAGAAGGCCAAATACTCACTCTCGCCATGTTGAACGTCGTGAACCTTGTGAACGCTTTCGTGAGAACTTCATCATTAACCTCGTTACCTAGATCTCCACAAAATAGTCGATGATCATCTGCAAGGAGACCCGTGGGAGAGAGCTTTAGATCGACGATGTAACTGACAAGAGGATGTGTCCTCCCGTCCAATATTGAAGCGACATGAAACTTCATGTAGACATAATCTTGGAAGAAAGTGAGGTTAATGAACCTAAAAAGTGACTTGATAGATACAAAGAGTGCCACTTGTAGGCATTTGAAGCTACTGGCGACTGCCTTAAGAGTCTCAACAATCGGAAACCATCGGAAATGAATAACTTATGCACTCAAAGTCATGAATTATTTATGTATTCTATCGGAACGTACTCTCTGGCCAATCGGCTAATGTGGGATCCTCCCAAACCTGCCCGGCGGCTTTTCGAGGAATGGCTCGCTTTCTCGCTTCTGACTTGTTTTCACCTTCGCCACTAGCTAGAGCAGCCTTCACACTTTCAAGAGCTTCTGGAGTGATCGTCTGAGCATCTCTTTGGAAGAGTTGTTGTGCCTGTCAAATCCGGAGTCAATTCAACCAGTTACAACTAAAGCATAAATCACAAATGCCAGCTGGGAAATGAAACAAGGCGAAAGTCTCGTTGTTAAAAGAAGGGAAATGCGGCACTCACCTGTTGTTGTTGAGGCATAGCAAAAATTTCTGGCGCGGCGGGAGTTGCAGCTGCTTGGTAAACAGCTTGATATTGATAACTAGGCTGGGCAGTAGTTCCGGTTGTCGCTGGTTGACTGGTTGCCACTTGAGCTTGCGACTGTGATTGCGGTGCTGCTGCATATTGTGTTGGTACTTGTTGATACGACTGTTGTTGTTGTTGGTACTGTTGAGTTGGCTGATACGTATGACTCTGTTGCTGCAGATGAAAAGGAACAGGAAAATACGAAGAACTTGCAGGAGCAGCTGAGGTAGGAGTAGTCGCCGGAGCTGATGTGAAAATCGTAGGTGTCTGAGAGTAAGTATACTGAGACGCCGGAGTAGCAGGTACAGGCGGAGCAACCACAGTAGCAGCAGTTGCTGAAGTGTTCAGCCATGCCATTGATGGATTGGGTGTGACAGGGGGTGGAGGTGGAGGAAGTAGATTTACAGAACCGGCTGCTAGAGGTGGTGGCGGTCGGGGAGGCATAGGGCGCCCAGAAGCGGCTTGAGGGGGTAGAGGTGGCGGTGGCGGACGCATTGCAGTACCATTCACTATGGTACTCTGTTACAACAGCACCATGAAGTTTAGTCAATAATTAGAACAAGGAAAATAATTTCTGAAAAACAAATTATCTTTCACATCCGGACCCCAGACTAAATATTTTCAATATTTCAACAAACGATCATAGTTCTCAACCCAGTAATTCTGGACTATTTTGGATATTTTGGAGGTTCCAAAAAATTTACTACTGACATAATAGTAGAAGTAAATGAACGAGAGACAAGAATCGTGAACATCGGCAGCTTAGGAAAAATTTACGTAGGCTAGCTCTCAAAGGTGCGCTTCATACAAGCTCTATTTAGAATGAACTGACACGAGCAAACTACAGGTATGTTTATTTGAATATTGTAGGACGTGATCATATTACAGTCTTTGATTGGTTAACTTTCGAAAGACCAAGGACCCAAGATGACATCAGATCCCCCTTGCTGGGCAAGAAGGAGAAACATGTAACAGCCCTGCTTCCGGTATTCTTCAACTTAATGTTTGAAAAACTATGAGAAGAAAAGAACTGTCCAGAATAACCACAAATCCAAAATACCAAAGGAAAACGCAGATCATCTGGATTCTTTCGTAAATGCCCATCATACCCTGAAGACGGTAGACTCCGATATAGAAAGAAAAAATAAGTACTTTGCAAGGATGGGATATAAGTAGAAAGAAAACGTAGAAAGTCAACTCGAGACTGAGGACAGTCTCTGTTGTAGTGGATGCTCTCCTCGTCAATAAAGTTAGTTAGTCAAAGAATATTCTTTCCATCAATTCATCCATCTGACAAGAGCCTCAATAGATCTGATTCAAAAGCTAAACTGCTCAAAGCCGATCATATAGAGATCTAACAAAGATTCGACATGATCAGACATGATCCATTCATTCCCATCCCGCAATGATAAAATTCTCTCTTCAATTACACTCATCTAGGCACGAGACATGATTATGCAGACGAGCCTCTATATGTCTTGAAAAACAGATACCCAAATCAACATCCACACCGAAATGATCAATTGAGAGCTAATTCCATACCATGATGAACAGGTCAAAGAGAGAAACATGTATGCTAGTTGTAAAAGGATGCCCTCTTTGAACTAATCTTCAGCCTAGAGAGAAGGAACGGAAGGTGAACTGGTCCAATAAGGGTTAATAAGTGGCCTCGAAGGACAGAAGCACAAAACCTAGTCCCCCGGACTTCACCACTCTCTCCTAGGAGTTCCCAGAGAATTGGTCATGTCTGAAGATAAATAGAAGGCTAATCATCTCTTCTGAACTTTCTTCAATATACTCTACAATAGTATGTTGCGATCGTTGTCGAGGTCTGAAGTTTTTTCCCAAAAGTCCACGTAAAGACTCGTAGGCTTCAAATTTTTTGTCCCAGTCTAAAGCAAGGCCATTCGAGCTGTCTACAGATATTCCTACACTGATGCTGGTAGACGTATTGACTGCGATGTTTGACCCAAAGTGAGAACTGAAGACCTTCAAACCTTCAATCACCCATGCACAAAGGTGTTATCTAGGGCTTTCAATGGCATACCCAGCTAATGACTTAAAGGCTTGAGTAACACATCACTGAAAATGTCATTCCCCTTAAACTTGACCCAAAAAAAAAGGAAGAGTGTAAGTAATTGCGTGCCCAATCCTCCAGGCACCTTGGCCTCCCCACCCTTTCCTGCAAGGTTCTGAATACTGTTAAGAAAATTTAGCGAACCTACTGTGGGAAGCAAGGCCCAATAGCCAAATTTAATCCTGGGTGTGGCACCAAGGTTCACCTGCATTTCTGCCATGAAATTCGAGAGTGGCGCTCTCTTTCTCCAACTGAAATTGATTAAACATTGGCTGCCCAAGCCCGCCAAGTGCCTAGCTCAGCTGAGTTTAACACTTTGCTCCATCTACTTAGAATGGTGAACACACGGCGAGAATTGCATGTAATTAGATCAATTCTTATGTCGACTGTGCCCTTAGGGTTTTGGCATGGATCACGTTTTCAATACATCACAATGCATGAGATCATGAAGCTCTGCTCGAAAAAGATCCTGAAATGAAGAATGCGCAGCAACACGAGCAGCTGCAGAGTGCAGTGATAGGGGATGATGCGCGGCACGACAACTCACCGGAGTGCCCCTGGCAGGGGGTGGTGGAGGTGGTGGGGGGAGCGGAACCCTAGCAACGAGATGAGCCGGGGGCAGCAAAGACGACGAAGGCTCAGAGCCTAGGTCTTTCATCTCCTGCTCGAACCGTTCCAATTCACTCAACAAATTTGCCATTTTCGCCCGAGTCCCGTCCTACACCTGCGAAATCCACTATATCCCTCCTAATTCACCACTGAACACCTTCACCTTCACCTTCACCTTCCCCTTCCTCTAAAAACCTTCTCGGCTCAGAAACCCAAATCCTCCACGCTCCTGTACGCGGGCGGCAAGCAGAATGACTGTTACCCAACACGAAAAAACAAGAAGCAGCATTCAAACATCCCAATCACACCTCTCGTGCTCCTCTGTGGGAATCAAACAAACCTTCAATCCTGAGCGCTCGAGCCAAATTCCTCGTGCCTACCGTAAAAACACCACAAATGTGGAAGCAGAAAAACAAAAACGGACAAGGAAGACAGAAAAGCGAACCGAGTCAAGTCCGTTATGCAGCGACTTCCGCTCAATCTCGTTCGGGCTACTAGCCTCGATCGTCCAGATCAGCGCCCTCCTCCCCCAACTTTCCGGCCACAGAATGGCGAGCGATGGTCGTTCACGGCAGATGTTACGACGAGCAAGGCAAACGATTCCCTCGGTGCCCCAGATCTCTCCAACAGTTCCACGGTTCAACATGGCGTGCCCACTTTTCCATCAAACGGACGAATGTCTAGAAATCAAAGAACTGACACACCTCCAAGTAGAGAGCTTGCTCATTCTTATCTTTTTGCATTCGATTTTTCTTGCCATGTTGGCCACTCCAACGATACATATTTGAGGAAGGACACATGTTGCACTAGAGCTTTGGTTTTAGTTATAAATTTGCAATGTTGAGTATAACCTTGTGTATGTTTGGTACAAGATGCGAATTTCTCCCAATTTCTTAGCGGAGAAAAACATATTATAATAATCGAATTTAAGAAAATTAATTTTTCTCTTAAAATATATTCATTCACATATGTATGTTGAAAATTTGGTAGAAAAGAAATGAATAATTATAATGTCTTCTGCAGATGGATGTGGCTTGAGAATTCAAAATTTTCAACACATTGCAATAGCCTCGTTTTTCTTCAAAAGAACAATTGATTAGATTGATGAATGACTAGGAGGAATAAAGGCCAGCATATACTAAAGTATTCAAATTGTCGTCCAAACTTCACAAGGAAAGCAGACAAAGCGTTCTTTCAACCTTTGATATGGTGAAAGAAAAGATATGGTTCATAGTTTATACAGTTGCAGAGGACTGAGGTAAGGAACTTGTGATGGAGGGTTTGCCTAATGAACGAAAATGTTATGCATTTTTTACACGATACTGTAATAAGCATTCATTTCACTCAGGAGGCCTCTCATATGCTATAAAGTGCATCCAAAACATCAACTTCTTGTAAGGCTATTCTATCAATCTAATCTAGAAAACATTCCATCTAAAGCAGTTATACGGCTAATTCAGTAAAGAGATTGTGGAGTATTTAGCATCAAACGCCATTTCTCTCCGCGGCATAACATGTATTGAAACAATCTTGTCGAATGAGGAAGCATTACCACTTAGTGTCTTATTGTGGATACAATGCGCTCATCAAGTTCAATTTACAATTGCCGCCGACCGGGAAACCTGGGGAGGAATTCGACAACTCAGGCGCTCGGTCACTGAGCAAACAAAATTTCTTGCAGCTAGTCTAGTAATGAGGCGAAGCCCCCATCGCAAGAAAGATGTATTATTTTAGGCACATAGTGCTATGGGAGAGAGCATTCACTGTGCGGGACATAGAGTCCAGCGAAGCGCTTTATAGACTTCCAATCCGGAGGGTTTAAGAGATGAAACTGCCTTACCAATTGGACCTAAGAAGCAGAAAAATTGCATCAACTCTGTATGGAAGGGGGAACCGCAGTTTTTGTGGAAATGAAATTCAGTGTTATCTACATAACTTAGATGTTAAGAACGCGATTTGGAGACAGACATGTATAATAAATAAATACGTTTTTTGAATTGTAGCCAGGATATCCTTGTCTTTTGGGGGATTTTGCATTTTTTTCTCCTCGTTTTGTGCTCATCGCTCCGTCATTACTTGTGTTAGTTTCCTCGCTTTTACGAAATCTTCCTGGAAGCTTTCATGGCGATGGACGTTTCTCGAAAAACAATATGCCACATCACACAAAGACTTTTAAAAGAATAATAAAACTGAAATCTTCATAAAAGTAGTCTAACTTTGACAATGTTATTTCACCATCGTTTACCACTGAAAAGTCTGGATGGTTTTATGTGATAATTTTCCCGGTAAAAGGGGGATTGAAATTGTGAGAAATTTTTCTATCTGATATTATTTTAAAGAGACCAATATTATACCATGCAGTATGAAATTGAGGATAATACCCTTCTGCATCTGTGAATGCCACGCTGGATGTGGATGTGGCATCCACACACAGTTGTACACAAATTGCAAACTCGGTATGTATCTTCCAACATGACGTAAGTTGGCGTAGCGTGTGGCTTCAACAAGAGCGTGAAAAGGAGAATCACTTGTTTGATTCCACGACTGGTTATATAAATTATAGTTTTTGCAGCATATGTTATACTATTCTACTAGAATTGCCACTCCAAGCAACAGTGTTTTCCCCAATATGAATTTGCTGGTCCTCTTGTCCTTGACGTGTCTTGCTTGTTTATTGGATAAATAACCTCAAGGAGATTTTTTGTGTACAACTCAGAAGATAGATACTGGTTCCGTTTGGATCCATCTTTACAACGGTGTGTTTCCCCTCCTTTCCAATGCATTTCGTGTGCCCATTTGTAATATTCAAATAATCATGATTGATATAGCAGCAACCCTAGTCAAATGAAAGTGATTATCCACAACAGATACAACCTCTCAGTACAATTCTTCTTTGCACTCTACAGTCTAATTTCTCATCACAGGAACATACAATCTAATTTCCAAAATTGTACATATGAAAATGTGATTACATGCAAACATTACTTGAATTTGGATTCTTTCAAATTGGATTTGATTTTTATCCATGTTTTATGTCATGATTATGATTAACATTGTGAGAATAACAATTCTGTGCATGACATTCTATACTTTACGATGTTATATAGATTAATAATCGTATATACAGTACAAGTTGCAGAGAAAGTTGAAAAGCAGGTGACCATCAATGGCAACGTTATTCCAAATGGCCGAGCTTATTACAACTTTGGTCATAAATTCATGTTTTTTAAACTTGTTATGCTAAAATTAGTTCGCTATTATTCGCAGGACTCCGTTTGATGTAAATTCAGTGGGAATTAAGTATCATAGCAAAGTTTTATAGAACTTGAACGTACATGAACTTCAATTTTGATCTTGAACATGCGTCATAATTTGGTATCCAATAGCATCACAAAGAAATACAATTATTATCTAAATTAAGCTAAATTATTCTACTTCAAATGATTTTCAGTATAGAAAATTTTGCGTCAGACTGTTTACTTCAGCACGTCAAATACGACATGATTTTTTTTGGCTTTTTTCTACTCTTTCCATAGATATAGGTAGAGTTCTCGTATCTATTTAGACAAACTACCAACTTCAGTAAGCTTTATTACCATTTTTAGTGTATCCAGCCACTACTCTTACCACAAGGGTACAATTATGTTCTTGCTCTAGCAGGAACTTAGCTCCGCTATGCAATATATTTTTCTCGCTAGCATCATTCAAGTATTCACTCTACATGACTTTGTTCTATACATTTTCATTATTCACGTGCGAATGTGTCAATATTTCAAAGGTAACAGACGTTCCCATGCTTAAGGGTACAGTTGGATTCCAGTAAAACAAATTCCACAGTATCAGAAGTGTTATTATATGATCTTGATAGTGTGTGATGGTGAAATTATCATATGGAAAGAGTAAGCTAGAGACTATCACATTGTGCTACATGATATAGCACATTCTCTCACCTATTGTGTTGCTTATTCTTGCAATGTGTTTACATTCATATACACATAGCACTGGCTCTGGACGTGAGAGTAATCACGTTAATAACAGGAAATAAAATTTTTATATCATTTCAGAGTCGTTATCTAGATGGCTAAGATATTGTTGAATATATTTCTACTCAAAACCCACAAGATTTATCCATCTCTTTAACTTAGTTTCCTCCTTATCGGGCTTGATAATTCTTTCCATCGATTTTTACATACAGTTGGATCTGCTTTCACACCTTGAGTGGGATGTATAGTTCTAAACGGCACCGCTTTTGCCTTGGGTTCCGCAGTTCAATATTGGAAACTCAACGTCCGACCTAAAGATTGCACAACGTGTTTGTGAGCTGAAAACTCTTCCCAGCACTTCCACGTTTCATCATGTTGAGCAGATTTCTTAATTCGGACATGCAAATTGTGTCTATGGAAGATCATGGGAGCCCAGATACAAAATGCCGGCTCAGTACACGGATTCCGGCGGATCCTGCTCCTGCAGAACAGCAGGATGATGTGTGACACGGGAGCTTTCTGACGACTGTTTTTGATGGTCGCCTGCATCTAAAAGACTTGAAGACGTCTTGCACCTCATGCTACCTGGTAAGTGTACTCATTATTGTATCGCTCTCACAATATGATTCGACAGGCACTTTTATTTTTGGTAATCATCTCGATGGCAACATAGTATTCGTTCGATGTTTTGACAAGAACTTTGCTGGGAACATCCTTTGCTATCTTCAAGGTGTGCTTTTCATCTGGACCGTACTTGTTGTAGGGGACTGAGAGAACGTAGCTCTTTCTGTCGCTAGAAGGATGCTCTGTGATACACGGGACGTCCATAAACCCTCTATAGTTGTGTACAACACGAAGGCTCCACACATTGTGGATACCATGACCACCGGCAACGATGATTGTCTGATATCGTACCAGTGGATACCTCCTTCCTCATATTTTGATAGAAAGATAGATGTGAAGTGAAGTACACCTTCACAGCTTGGATTAACCATGAATATAAAGTGTTGCCAAGCCTATGCTTGTAACATGAATGCCCTATTATACATCAGATTCTTCCTGTCCTACATCTCACTGGTTAAGCAAAACTTTCTATTTGAGGTGGCCAGAGACCTACAAGTCGGCTTTTGATTTTACACTCACACCGTCAGATCCAGCAATAATGACAGCGGTAGCCATGTTGAGGAAGAGACCATGGTCCACTACTCCTTCCAAGGATGAGATGGCCTTCGCTGCCGCATTAGCATCCTTGATCGGGTCCTGCATAGACAGCAGCAAATACATATTATTGCCTAAACATTCTTTTCACCATGTTCAACTGGCTTTCAGGGTGGGATCCCGAATGGCAGAGGACTGAGCATTCATGCAAAATTCTCCATTAATTATCATTCCTTCCAAATGCTTGTACTGAAATTAGACACTCACGAAGTGACGTGACATCCCAATCTTAAGCATTAGAGTAGGAAGATACTCTAGAACTCAAGTAGAGATGTCAAAGTCGACAAGTGCATCATGCTCATGGAAAAAGGTAAAGCTTAGGACAAACCTTGAAGTAGAGGTCGATGATGTAGTTAGAGTTATCCGTCACGTATGGCTTGTCGCCATCCATACGCAATTGCACCTGCAATGCGTTTCATGTAAAGGCCACGCCGATTTAGACTTATGCAATGCAGGGGCAATGTCATTACATACGCTTCTCACACTTTTGATAATGTCAGAACCCGACGACAAGAAACTTGACACGACGGACCCTAGCCACACACGCAGTGTAGTCCACAGTCTACTACCTCCTACAAGAGTTGAGCAGTTACCTCGCATCCAGCAACTTCTGGAAGGTTTTTCAATCGTTCAGCGTTGTACTTCCAGCAAAACTGCACTACTTCGACTGGCATGGCAAGTCCACTGCCACCCAAACCATCTACAAGCTGTAAAGGACAAAAAACAAGTCAGTTACATATCAGATTGGTTGGACTACGTCAGTTCAGTTCAGTTCGAGTCAGTTCACATTCAGACCACTTTCTCCATGAGAATTCAGAAGAGTCACTTGTCGGCATACCTTGGTCTCATCTACGATTACAACGAACTTAGCAGAGGCTGCCTCCACCATCTGTCATTCAGGAGCATTTGTCAGAAACTAGTACAAGGTATATAGATAGCTCAAACTTTGAAACATTAAAGTTACTCCCAATCAGTCGGTTGAGTGGGTAGTGGGTGAGCCAGGTATGAAAAGAACAGAAGAGGGAAATTTGGCACGCTCCTAAATCTACCTTCTCACGCAGAAGAGCTCCTCCTCTGCCCTTCACAAGGTTTAGGTCAGGGTCGACCTCGTCAGCTCCATCGATGGCGAGGTCAATCTGGAAACAAACACGTACAAGCAACCAGTTCAAACCCACTGATATTTGAGTGTGATGTCAAGATGTAAAATCTGACAGCTTTCGAAAGAGACAAATAGATAAATGGATAAACATGAGTTGCAAGGATTCATATACACTTTGAACGAACATCTGAAGCTAAAGTGGGTCTGTAAAGTGAACAAGATCGAGACGAGGTATCCTACCTTTGGGTGGTCGTCAAGTACGGAAAGGGGGATACCGAGAGACTCTGCCTGTTCGGCGGTTCTCTGCGCAACATGAGCGGATAAAATTTTCGACCATGAGCATCTAAAGAATCAGCTCTTCACAAATGTATTGAACTCCCACAGGCATGCTGAGAAGCCAGCTACGAGCGGGGCAGTCGAGTAAAGCTGCAAGAAATTACATGCGATATCTTCCAAAACAGCTCTCAACAACGAAAGAAGATATTAACCACTCTACTGATTTTTGATTACCTTTGAGGTTGGAACTCCGATGATGTTTGTGAGTTTCCCTTCCTAAAAATCAGACCACAGAAAACTCATATTAAACAACTGATTAACATCCACAGCCAAAACGATTATTAGTTTGAACCAATTGAAGGACCAAATATCCTTCCGTCCGCAAAAGAGACTCTAGCTTACAAGCCGTTCAATGGCCGACAACTTATTGCATGGTTGAAAGCTCAAGGTTCGGATGTAAAATGGCAGGACTCCATAGACACGTCGCCGTCATTCAAATTTCGTATCGAGGTCACGGAGATCCATACCTTGAGAAGTTCTCCGATCTTAGCAACAGCGAAAGCAGCAGTGGAACCTGTTCCCAGACCCAACACCATTCCGCTCTTGACATACTCTACGGCCTGCATTACATCCACCGCAAGACACATGGAGAGGAGCATCGACCGTGAATAACTGCTGACGCGACGAGTGTTCCAGACAAATCAACGCATTACAAAGCTATGCACTGCGCTTCCACGAGGTGCAAGTCTCACTCCAAAAAGCATATCTCCGCGGCAATTAAAGGTTCCCGTCTTAAACAAAGAGCAAAATTTGGCTGAGCCATTGCACGCCTCGGTGAAGACTGACCTTGTCGGCGGCGAGCTTCTTCAATTCATCTTGGGTCAAAGTCTTGGCAACTGCATTTGAAGGAAACGAGGTCACTCAACAGTTTTAATTCTTATCGCTGTGAAAACATGCTGGACATTGAGCGGATCACGATCACGAGAAAGGCTCCCGCACGTTCGTACATTGTAATTAAAATTCAACTCGACAAACGCAATAATTACCCAATTGCAAACATCACAGAAGGTTCGCCTTCAAAGAATCGAGAAATCCGACCCCATTTCCGAACCATAGCCGCACTAAACCCCATGCTGACACTTGAGATATCGAGTGCATCGAACGCAGTGATGAGGAATACTCGTTCAACTTAATCAGAGAAGTGTCCTCGTATGGGGGCGGAATTCGTATCGTACGAGGAAACATACATTTCAAACACGAAATCCACCACCGTATCGCAGCGTCAACGAAAATTCCACTATCATTCCCACTTCACAATTCACGAATTCAGCACATTCACACAATTCACGCCATAGCCCAAGCGATCCTAGCCACTCGAGCCCTGAGAGAGAAATGCCGATCATCACAGAACCGGAGGTTACCTTGGGCGACGGGGCCGGAAGTCATCGAAGCGACCTGCACGCGCTCGACAGAAGGAGCCTGGATTCGGAGTCCGGCGAGGGACTGACGGGCGGAACTCAGCTGCGCTCCGGTTTTGCTGCTGGCTCTGGCAGCGAGGGACGGGCAAGCATTGACAGACGCAACCAGCCCTAGGGACAGCGACGAAGATATGGCAGCGGCCATGACTGACTGACTCACTGACTGACTTGCAAACCTCGTCCGAGTTGCTCAGAGCACGCAATTCCTTCGCTGAGCAGTTCGGCGCTCGCGATCTGCTCGAAGCCCAACTTCGCGAGCGGAAACCGAGGAGGCCGAGAAACCCACCGCAAATGCACGTACCGGCTGACGATCCCCGCCCCCCTGGCGATTGTGGCGAAACCAGGCACGGATTGGATAGGACGATTGGGATTTTGTGGTTCTTTCTCCTTTACCGGGTTTTCCGGTCGTCCAGCGTCGGACTGCCGGGCTCCCCCGTCCTTTCGTAGTGCATTCTGCTCGACCGTACCGACTGGCAATCGAGCTGTTGACGGTCGCAGTAGCGAGCGGCGAGGGTGTCGCGGGAATCTAATTCTCGCGGGAATATTCCTCCGGAGCAGGGGTGGATAAAGGGGCCCCACCATTGGACACCGGTGGTGGCGGTGGTGTGAGCCGGTCGCTTCTCCCATGTCCTCGCCACTGTGGGGCGCTAACGTCGAGATAACCGTCCCGAGTCCCGGTGATGGAGTCGAAGTGACGGGCCACATTGGCGTCGCGCGGCAGACATGAGCAAATGGCCCGACGATCTCGACGACGGTCACGACCCTCGAGATTAGCGAGCTGGTGACTCGCATGGCCGCGGCCTAAGTGACATAGGCAGCACGCGTCTTACCCTTTCGTGATTATTTTTTATTTAGGCATTATGTTGCCTAAAATTGATGATTCGAGGATGTACCGACTAAGCGACACGAAATCGTCAAAATCAAAATAGAATGGAGTAGATCGCGATAAGATTATCGACCTGGTTATAATTTTTAGAGGTTGAGGTCACATCAAACAATTCATTGCAGGTGTGTTCCAGTCTAATTAATATATGTAAACTTGAGGGATCAATCATTCTAATATATATGATTTTGGTGTTAAATTACTCCGTTTCATATGCATCACTTCACAGTAATGATGAATATCGGGTAGCAAATGAATGCATAGAATATTTAAGTTAGAACATATATAGTTATTTGATATGTTTCTTACTTTTGTGTAGCTTCATGAGGTTTGGCAATTATGTTGCATATCCATTCGGCTGGTGAGTTTAGGGTTGAACCTCCTCTAGGTTTCTTGGATCATATCTTTTATATAAACCTATAATGTTATGTGAATCATTGAGACTTCATTGCATCTTCCTCATCCTCTGGTTTTTTATCTTAAAATTAATCTATATTTTGAGATGTTTTGAATTCTATGCTCAGAGTGTTTCAAAACCCAAATTCCAGAGTCCGTTCACAATTCATCAATGCCGTCAGCCTTTTCACAACGGCGGAGTGTGGTATGTTGTAGAGGCGACTAGATTGTTCCATCAATTAAATCATTAACGGTGACTTCCTGTCAAATAGTGAATTTTGGAAAAAGAGTGACATAAGTATAAACGGATAAAAACTTACGTCTTGACTCTTTCATGTTACAAAATGTTCACACATTGAAATTCTCATAAATATTTTTAAAATATTTATATGTAAAGATGAGACATGTCTATCAATTTTAAGATGAATAGTACAAAAATAATGAAGAAAGTGACGAGATTGATTGCCTACCTGTTCAACTTCTGGAAAACTCTTACCAGTATGTATGTCACAACATTTTTGCCCAGTGCAATATGTTCACTTGACCAAAAGTAGATAAGATCTGACGAAATCCAAACACTTCAGTGACGCTGTTTCAAAAGGAATGGACAAGTAAACTTTCAGAAAGTTATGGAACTTAAGAGTGAAATTTTGAAAAAATCAATGTGTATGTTAGTGATTTTTACAAGAAGTCCCAAAGATGAAAATTATTAGGTGTATTTTAAATGAATTATTTGTTCATGCTAAAATAAGGTTTTTAAAAAAAACCTTAAAAGTGGTTAGCTCACATTTTGCAAAATTATTGATGACAATCAAATGGTGGTCAAACGAGGACAATGATCGTTATTCACAACTCACTTGATAACGTTTGATTTGATTTGCAATGTTTAACGCACAGTTGGAAAGAATACACTATGTGGTAAGATTATGGACAATGTTTTAAACAATATCGGATTAGAAAATAAAACCATCATCTATAGCAAATGCAGAAATTCCACATCAGTACCAAAATGAGAACTTTAACACCTTCATTATCGTGTTATTAGAACTTATATAAAACAACATTTCATGAAATAAAGTGCAAATGAACGCCACTTGAAATGCAAAAGTATAAATCTGGCAAAGTCAAAATTCGAGATTTAAGCGTGAACCTGAAAGGGCTCGACGTGCAGCGAGAAAAGGGAGACGCATTCTACGGAGATATAAAGCAGGGTGTAATGCTCAAAGCCTCAGCAAGTATGGAGCCACAATCCGCTACCTTGACGCTGATTGCAGCGCCTTAAAGTCATTTCTCTTCTCAAATACAACTACACTATCATCAGCGGAATTTTCCACAATGTGCGCAGAAATTTTTTCGATCACTGCAATAGTTCATGCAATGGAAACTTCTTCCCGGGGCGAAATTTACTGTGAGGGAGTGATAATATGCTGAGATCGGTCAGTGAAACCAAGGGCTGTATAACAGAGATCCGATTATACAACTATCAATGAGGAAAAAACTTGCCGACCTCTTGTACTCCCCGACATTGACCTTCATTGAATTCTTACCGTGTGTCACAAAGAAAGTGACGTGCAAGTCGTCGAAGCTCATGGCAAGCGACTCAAGATCAGTCAAGGTTCTGAAGCATCCGGATTCGAAGCAGACATGTGCATGAGAAAGCACGCACTCTTCCTCGAGGATGTCTGAACCTGTCGTGGGTTGGAGCTGAAGTCCAGAGAAAAGGAGACTCAAACTTCTTCAGCCGATTGACAGCGCCCTTCGAAACAGGATGAAATGAACTTTCAGACTGAAAGAGAGGCTTTTCAAAATTCTCTCTTCTGAGAATATCTCTTATGATTGTCCAACAACTCCAACAGATGAATTCTTCATCTGGAAACGTTGGCAGTAGAACTTCAGTAGCCACAGACGTTTCCGTCAAAATACACGAGTGGTGGAGAAGAACGCAGCATTGCCAGAAGTTAGTAGAGCTGACGATGAACTACATTACAAAGTATGGGAAAAGACTAGCATTACAGTCGAAAGTCAGTTCAAACTCCTATCTCAAACTTCTCGAAACTCAAATCATTGTCGAAGGAAGGTTTCTGAGTTTCTTTCTACATGAAATATGTAAATTAGAGGTGTGAGTAGTAGTCTTGGATGGCGTGCTTTACCAAATCAGGGCCGAACCAAAGATTGCGGACATAATCCGCGAACCTTGTGTTCCCATCAAGAAAAGCAGGCACAGTCATCTGCTTCTCTCTCAATGGACTTGGATCCTGATTGTGCAGAAATTCGTTTCTGAAACTCCAGATAACTTTTCACCTTTCTCTTCAACTGGAGTGAGTAGAGGGTTTGCCCCGGCGAGTACCGTAATCGAGTACGATCCATAACCAACAAAAGTTTTGGTTGTTGCGTCATTACGTGACATGATCATGTAAGAGAACTGTTATAAGGTCAGTCTCAAGGCTTCATCAATAGGCTCGAGTACAGGATTCTGCAGATGAGTTCAACCGTTGGATCATACAAGGCGATTGCTTGCGCAGGAAGCTATCAACGGCTGAGATCAACAGTTATGTTTTGTGAAGGTAGGGTAATGTAACTTCATTCTCAGTTTCAATTTTAGAACAAACACTTGGGTAAACACTTTTGAGAGACAAATTGTAAGGGAAACACAATTTGGGGAAAAGTGAGGACGAGTGTGTAATCTGAGAAACCTAATAGTGATTTGATCTTTGTTGCTAGATGTAGGCACATTGCCGAACCAGGGTATATCGTGTGTTCACTGTTATTCCGCATTTTGATTTGATTGCGTGTTAGATACTGGTTAGCGTATTGGTCAAGTTACGTCTGTGTTCTTGATTCATTACCGAGGTTTTCACTACAATTGGTATCAGAGCCATCACCATCAAATCTGTTTTGAACACGATGGGTCTCGCAAAGATGGAAATCGAACGCTTCAATGGCAAAGGAGATTTTGCTTTGTGGCGTCAGAGAATGAAGGCAATTCTTGTTCAGATGAAAATCTCCAAGACGATCGATCCTGAAGCCAAACACGCTGAATCGATCACGGCTGAAGACAAGGCAGAGATGAACGAGCTTGCATACAGCACGATCGTTCTGTATCTTGGAGACAAAGTTTTGCGAGAAGTCGCCAATGAGAAGACTGCCATTGGCGTTTGGGCGAAGCTTTAGAGCATGTACATGAAGAAATCGCTATCGAGAAGGATCTATCTCAAGGGAATGCTTTTTGGATTCAAGATCCAAGAAGACAAGCCGATTGAAGACTATCTTGACGAATTCAATCGGATCGTCATTGATCACGCCAATATCGGTGTCGATACTCCCGATGAAGACCAAGCAATCTTGATTCTAAACGCTTTGCCTCCCTCATATGCAAATTTTGTCGATGCTATGAAATATGGGCGATCCTCAATCACCACAGAGGATGTTCAGTTGGCATTGAAAGCGAAGGCTCTTCAATCCAGAGGCGAGAAGAAATCTGCACCTGAAGGTCTTCTTGTTCGCGCTCAACCAGACAAGAAGTCATCTAAGAAGAAGAAAGAGAAGCCGAAGCCTGAAGATCAAGAGAAGCCCTTCGCGTACAAGTGCTACAATTGTCACAAGGAGGGACATATGAAGAAGGATTGCCCTGAACTGAAGAAGTATCCAGGTGCCTCAACTTCAAAGACTGGAAAAGCCGCCGTTGCTGAGAATGACGGCTACGACAGTGCTGAAGCACTAATGGTCACCACAGATCGACCCAGCTCCGAGTGGATTCTTGACAGTGGGTGTTCTTTCCACATGACACCCAACAAGGAGTGGCTTGAGAACTACGCTGACTCAGATGGGATGATTCTTCTTGGCAATGATAAACACTGTCCAGTAATTGGCACTGGTTCCGTGTCTCTCAAGAATCATCTGGGCAAGGTCAAGATCCTTCAAAAGTCAGGTACATCCCTGAACTGAAAAGAAATTTGATTTCTCTTGGAGTTTTGAAATAGGCAGGGTACAAGTTTGCAAGTGAAAATGGGATCTTGACTGTGTCCAAGAATGAAAGAGTTGTACTACAAGGTGTTCAACGAAATGGCTTGTACTTCCTCACTGCACAAACAATAACTGGCCATACTGCTGTTTCTTCAAGAGATGTGAATTCGAGGTTGTGGCATCTAAGGCTGGGTCATGTCAGTGAAAGAGATATGACAGAACTGGCTAAGCAAGGATTCCTTGATGATGAAAGTATCACTGCCTTGGATTTCTGTGAAGAATGCATCTATGGCAAGGCATGCAGGGCAAAGTTTGGCAAGGGAATTCATAGATCAGAGGCTATTTTGGACTATGTCCATACTGATCTCTGGGGTTCAGCAAAAGTGCCTTCTCATGGTGGCAGCAAGTATTATATGAGCATAGTGGATGACTACTCAAGAAGACTATGGGTCTATCTGCTCAAACAAAAGAATGAGGCTTTGGATTCTTTCAAGACCTGGAAGACCCTGGTTGAGACTCAGACTGGAAAGAAAGTGAAGAAGCTAAGGTCTGATAATGGCTTAGAATTTTGCTCAGAACAGTTTGATAGCTTCTGCAGATTGAGTGGCATTCAAAGGCATCATACAGTTGCCAACACTCCTCAACAGAATGGTCTTGCATAGAGATTTAACAGGACTATCATGGAGAGGGTGAGATGCGTTCTGATACACGCCAAGCTTCCAAAGGCTTTCTGGGCAGAAGCTGTCAAGACTGCAGCTTATCTAATCAATAGGTGTCCTTCTACAACCATTAAGTTGAAGACTCCTATGCAGATGTGGTCTAACCATGAAACAAGCTATAGCAAACTCAAGGTCTTTGGGTAAACTGCTTATGTGCACATCAAGCAAGGGAAGCTTGACCCTAGAGCCTTGAAATGTGTTTTCATAGGCTATCCAGATGGGAAAAAGGGGTACAGGCTATGGTGTCTTGAAACTGGGCACAGAAAGTTCATCATCAGCAGAGATGTGACTTTCAGGGAAGATGATTTCTGTAATAGAAAAATCCCTGGAGATCTTGACATCTTTGCTGAGGAAGATGAAGCAAGCTCACAGCACACTGCTCTGGTGGAGATCTCTACTGATACTGCCACCCTACCTGTCAATGATCATGCTGAAGAAGCTATTGAAGATCATCTACAACACCCTGAGAGAGCTGAGGTGGACCAGCATGATGAAGCTGCAGATCAACCTCAAGATGTTGAAGCTCATCCTGATGAAATTGAAGCTCAGCTGAATGATGAGAGTGCAGGCAATCCATCTGACTACAACCTTGTGAGAGATAGAGCAAGAAGGACTCACAAACAAACTCAGAGGTTTGGTTATGACCTCGCAGCCTTTGCCTTGTTGGTTGGGTTAGAGTTGCTTGAAGATGAACCAAGAACTTTCAAGCAAGCTTGTCTCAGTGAAAAGAGAGATCAGTGGCGATCAGCTATGTTAGAGGAGCTAAAGTATTTGAAAGAGAATGAAACCTGGACTGTTGTTGATAAACCAGCAAGCAAGAAGATTGTTGGCTCGAGATGGATATTCAAACTCAAGGAGGGGATTCCTGGAGTTGAAAAGCCACGTTATAAAGCCAGGCTTGTGGCAAAAGGTTTTTCATAGCAGGAAGGTATTGATTACAACAAAATCTACTCGCCGGTGGTCAAACACAAGTCAATCCGTATCATTCTCTCTATGGTTGCCATTTTTGATTTAGAACTGGAACAAATGGATGTTAAAACTGTTTTCTTGTATGGAGATCTGGATGAGACTATCTATATGCAACAGCCGGAAGGTTTTGAGGTTGGAGACAAGACTGAGAAAGTTTGTTTGTTGCATAAGTCTCTCTACAGCCTCAAACAGTCACCTCGACAATGGTACCTCAAATTTGACACTTTCATGACTCAGAATGGTTTTGTGAGAAGCCAGTATGATTGATGCGTGTACTTCAAGGATCTCAAGTCAGCTGGTTTCATCTATCTACTCTTGTATGTGGATGATATGTTGATTGTGAACAAGGAACAGTCAGAGATTCAGAACTGAAAACTCTCCTCGGTAAACGTTTCCAGATGAAGGATCTTGGCCCTTCTAAGGTGATCCTAGGAATGGAAATTGAGAGAGATAGGACTCAACGGAGGCTTGGGCTTTTTCAGAAGAGATATCTTACCAAAGTGCTAGAAAGGTTTGATATGAGTGAAGCCAAGCCAGTGAACACTCCCATAGCTCATCACTTCAAGCTATCAGTGAGTCAATGCCCTGAAACTGATGAAGACAAAAGGTACATGCTCACTGGACCTTATGCCAGCGCAGTAGGGAGCCTGATGTACTCCATGATATGTTCAAGACCAGACATAGGATATGCTATAAGTCTTGTCAGCAGATTTATGAGCAATCCTGGAAAGTCTCACTGGCAAGCTGTGAAATGGGTGCTGAGATACATTAGAGGGTCACATGATACTGGCATTATCTATGGCTGCAACAACAGATCCTCAGAATTTCAGATGGAGGGTTTTGTAGACTAAGACTATGCCGGGAGTCTGGACACCAGAAGATCTCTCACAGGATATATGTTTACCATTGGAGGTGGTGTGATAAGTTGGAAGAGTAATCTCCAGCCAGTGGTCACTCTATCAACTACTGAAGCTGAGTATATTGCTGTCACAGAGGCAGTGAAGGAAGCAATCTGGCTGAAGGGTCTTGTAACTGAGCTTGGATTCAATCAGAAGCAAGTTACAATTCACTGTGACAATCAGTCAGCTATTCACTTGTCAAAGCATCAAGTGTTTCACGAGAAGTCAAAGCACATTGACATCAAGATGCACTTTGTGAGGGACATCATCAACTCAGGTGGAGTAAACATAGAGAAGATCAGCACTGAGGATAATCCATCGGACATGCTCACGAAGTCAGTTCCAGGACACAAGTTCGCTCATTGTCTAGGGCTGATAAACATGAGGAAGAAGATGAAGAAGACTGGTACTTAGGGATCAGGAGAAGAAGATCACTTCACTAGATGAAGGTGTGTTCGACTTAGGTGGAGAATTGTTATAAGGTCAGTCTCAAGGCTTCATCAATAGGCTCAAGTACAGGATTCTGCAGATGAGTTCAACCGTTGGATCATACAAGGCGATTGCTTGCGCAGGAAGCTATCAACGGCTGAGATCAACAGTTATGTTTTGTGTAGTTTTTTTGTATAAATAGAGGAGAATGAAGGTAAGGTAATGTAACTTCATTCTCATTTTCAGTTTTAGAACAAACACTTGGGGAAACACTTTTGAGAGACAAATTGTAAGGGAAACACAATTTGGGGAAAAGTGAGGACGAGTGTGTAATCTGAGAAACCTAATAGTGATTTGATCTTCGTTGCTGGATGTAGGCACATTGCCGAACCAAGGGTATATCGTGTGTTCACTGTTATTCCGCATTTTGATTTGATTGCGTGTTAGATCCTGGTTAGCGTATTGGTCAAGTTCCGTCTGTGTTCTTGATTCATTACCGAGGTTTTCACTACAAGAACTTTGATAGCGTGGAGAAATTATTTCAATCTGATTCCGATTATATTTGAAGCCATTCCATCAGCTGCCAAAGCTTGTGGAAGAAGAACAACCACAAAAGTCCGTCACGCGTTGGCTGAAGGTATGAAGGGAACAGCCAACGAAAAATCAGCCCCGGAGAACATAATCCAAGTAAAATAAGCACAAAACCGGGAATTTTATCTCTGCCCGCTTTGAAAGTATCGCTCGTTTCAAGTTCGTAAGTGCTGCGGCCCGAAGACAGCTCTCATAATCATCCTCCCGTCACCATCCTGCAACCCTGAATGGGCCCACCTTTCCCCTCATGCTCAGAGCTGTAGTAGAAATTTTCGTTCACCATCGAATGAATTGTGAAAGTTGTAAGAACGCTCCAACTCTACGTGTGCATGCATTTGAATTTTCATTACGCCAACCTCAACCTACGTTTAAACTCTATTTAGGCATTGAAAGACAATCACGCTCTCGGAAAAGGTGTTTCAGGTAGGTTAGTAAGTTTGCATATATATATATATATATATATATATATTATCAATTTTCTGTGTTCGATAACAGATAACAATTGCGTCGTTGCATCAAAAGGTTGGATTTTGATAAATTTCACTAACTACATATTAATCGTATCTAAAAATTGTATATTCGAGTAAATAATTAAACAAGATCCCAGCGAGATGCTTTTTCACATAACTTCTTCAAAGTAGAAGAAAACGTTAATTATCGCATTCATTTTTCTAGGAATATGGGACTAAAGTCCTGACCTCACGCACACTTTTGTTTGAATAGACTGGCCCCCAGTCGGCACATAGTACTCTGCGAGATCTAATGAGGAAATCGTAGTAGGTTTAGAGCAACACATGACCGCAGTTCTGCAGAGAAGCTCATAGTCATCTGAAAACTCGGCCGAGCGAGCACTGATTGTACACCCACTTCTTCAGCTCCGGTGCCTTGTTCGCAGTTGGTGTGGTTTGTAGTCTCTCGATTTGCTCCGTGAAGTGACGTCGAAATTTTCGACAGAAAGCAGCGCATGACTGTCATCTGTGAAGGATGGTTTTGATTCACTACACTTGCTTCAATGGTTTTGATTCATTGTGCAATCAAACCGCTTCTTCGATCTGATCCTGAAGGCGATTGGGCACTCATCGGCAAGCAGTATTCCTGCACGGGCCTGCACCGAATGGTTCACGGAGTGTAAATACTTTGCATGAGGAGTAAATGCGAAGGGTAGGGACAGATGGTGGTATCTGGGCTGTCGATGGAATCAAAAAGCCTTGAAGGATGATCGCTCAAATTGAAGGAATCGTCGAACAAACAAAACAGGAGGATCTTTATACTTGTAACTTGACCTCATGATCACGGGAGTTCTGTGCACAGCACCAAGACAGGGCCATAATTTTCCACACTGCCCACCCTGTAACATCGGATCGCTCCAGCGACGCTCACGCGCCCACGACGCAGTCTAGAACGGTTAATGAAGATTTTAAAGATCGTGAGTTTCAGACAATACCCTTCGCGTTTCCGGAAGATCGAGCGCCCATTCACCCTTCACATCCGATATCGGAAAGACGACAAGATCTCGTGGCCAGTTCGGCAACTGGAACCATCGAGCCCATGCAACCATCCACATTAAATCGACCCTCGTCACGAAATCATCTCATCTCACACCAAAGCGGAGACCAAAAACTCCAAGCTCCCACCAGATCCTAATCTCCACTGCATGCCTTTCGTTTTTAAAAAGCTAACAATGTATTGAGCATCAAGATCCCCTCCCGTGCTATGTGGCGTGTCAGCAAGAAATTTATAAATCACGAAAGCCAGAGTGATCTCGTGATCGTGCTTCGAACGATTCTCCCGCCTAATAACGCTGCGAATTGGAGTCGTCGCGGCCTGCACCCGCTGCACGGAGGCTTGGCGCGGCGCGTCTGTGCTGACGGCGCGAAGCTCAAGCGCCGGGGCCAGGCATCGACCCGTAGCAGACCTCTTCTTCTTAAGCTCTCGACCGCTGACCGTTGCAGTTCAAACTCGCGAGACGCGCCAGACTATCCGAAGCTTCGGAACAGCTCTGGAGCTTAAGGGCTCCAGGGCTTAATCAGACGCGCTCGGCTCCCGCTGCTCTATTTATTCAGCTCTTATCGTGATTAGTCGCTTCCGGAGCTGAGTACTCCCACAAGATGTGGGTTGACTGGAGCTTAATAGCGCTTAATCATCTTCTCAAGATTTAGAGGCAGGTTTGGAGGTGGAGGAGAAATCGTACAGTAGGATGTGTTTTGTTACTGGAGTGCACACGCGTGAAATCCAAAGATGTCCGGAATTGCATCAGCAGGCGTGGACAGCAGTTCGTCGAACTGTCTGTGATGGATAATGACATGCTCGTGGAAGGAGATTCTCTAAGGGCAGCAACTGGTGTAGCAGATAGATCGTGCGTAAGGAATTTCATATTTGGAACTCACAATTCGGGCTTTGTGGCCATAGATTGGTAGTGTCGAGGTTCCCAATCTGGCGAGGGCGGAACCGAGTTCGTCCTCACTGACAGCATTGACGCGGCGTCGTCTGAAGTGGTCGATTCTTCGATGGGGCAGCTTGCAAGGTACTCGCCGTGGCGCGTCCTCTTCATTCTGCTCGCAGCTCTCATCGTATTTCTCGTCTTCCTAACTTCCGGGGGTTCCACCAAACCCAAGCGAACAGCGCTGGAGCTAGCGGCCAGCACCAAAGCGGACAACAGCTCCGAGCAATCCGTGTGCTTGATCTTGGCTCCTTCCCCGAATCTCACCCAATTCGTCGACGCTCTTCCGATCATTCCCATCATCAACGTGTCGACGGGAGAAAAAATTGTCATGAAGGCCTTCACTATCCACCAGGTCAGTCACCTCTTCACAACCCAGAGCCACCTGCAAAATATCCCTCGCTCTGGACGCACTACAGACTTTGCAGCCGCGCAGGCATCTAACTTCGTCGAGTTCTTCCTTGGAAAAAGCATCGATGCGAGGTTTGCAGCTCGGAGTTCTTCATTGTTTCTCAGATCAGCCAGATCAGTTTGACAGTCGGTCCTGAATTGACTGCGCTTTCATGCAGACCGCTCAACCATGTTGCAAATTTCTCAATTCTCGTTTGCCGTTTGCCATTCGCACTCGTGATTTGTCACTGAAATTTCGCGTCGTCGCCGGTCCCGCACTGGGATCTGCAGAAGCTGCACAGGGATCTTCCGCCGACGAGACTATACGGATTCGGGACGAGCGAGAGCAACGCCCAGTACCCGGGGCCGGCACTGCAGGCGACGAGGAATGTGCGCAGTCGTATCAGATGGGAGAATCACATCGCCGACGAGCAGCACTTTTTGGCACTGGACAAGACCATACTGGCTGCGCTACCACGTAGAGGTGGGGTGCCCATAGTCACGCACCTACACGGCATGGAACTGGAGCCCAAGTACGACGGGCACCCGGAGGCCTGGTTCACCAAGTATGGCGAGACGGGGCCTCGATACGTAACCCAGGACTACGAGTACCTCAACACGGTACTCCCTTCGATGCTGTGGTACCACGACCACAGCATCGGGATCACTCGGTTGAACTTGGCCGCCGGGCTCGCCGGTCCCTACGTGGTTCGGGGCTCCAAGCACGAGGAGCCGACGTCGCTGCCCAAGGGAGATCAGGAAATATTCCTCTTCATTCAGGACAAGCAGCTCTTCGCCAACGGGTCGATCAACTTCCCCTCGGTCGGCGACGACGTGACGATGCACCCGGTTTGGTGCCCGGGCTACTACGGGGACACCATGGTCGTGAATGGTAAGGTCTGGCCATACCACGAAGTGTTCCCGTTCAAGTACCGGCTCAGGATCCTGAACGGCGCCAGCGAGCGCTTCCTCGACTTGCAAATCAACCACGGCAACAAGACGCTGCCCTTCCATAAGATAGGCACAGACGGCGGCTACCTGCGGAGCTCCGTCCGGCTGAACCACCTGGTCCTCTCACCCGGTGAGCGCATCGACTGCGTCGTCGACTTCACGGGCCTGAAAGCCGGCGATCGAGTCCTGCTCAACAACACCGGCAACGTGGCGTACCCCGGCGGGCCCCCGCTGGACGCCGGTGACAAGATGCGGGCAGTCCTGGAGTTCCGGATCGTGGCGAACTCCACCGCCGACAGGAGCCGGATTCCTAAGAACTTGAGCGACTACTCGCCGCCCGTGGTTCCGGCGGCGAACCGGACGCGGTTCAGGCACTTCATCCTCACGGAGACCATCAACAACGCCGGGAACGGGACGGAGCTGCTCCTCGCCAACCGCAGCTTTCAAGACCCGGTGACGGAGATCTCGCACCTGGGAGCGACGGAGATCTGGCAGTTTATCAGCCTGACGCCAAGCGTGGCACATCCCATCCATCTCCACCTGGTGAAGTTCCACGTGCTGGACGTGCAGCCGATGGACACCGGCTCGTACCTGAACTCGACCTGCTCGCTGATATACGACTACGGGCAGCCCGGGAGCTGCTTCTTGGGCCCGTCGCGGCCACCGGACCCTCAGGAGATCGGCTGGAAAGACATCGCCTCGGCCTGGCCCGGCAACGTCACTCGCATCCTCGTCACCTTCCGCTCGCAGGACGGCTCCGCCTTCGGGTTCGATCCCACCGGCGAGCCCGGTTTCCTGTGGCACTGCCACCTGCTCAGTCACGAGGACAACTCCATGATGCGGCCCATGAATGTCGTCTACTGATGAGCGAGCAGTAAATTCGATTCTGCTCTCGCGCAGGCGCCAGGCCCAGCCCTCGTCTGGAACGACTCGTCGACGCATTCGAGAGTCGAATCCAGCGGCGATGCCTCCGATGGTATGGATCCGTGGGCACTGTCCGAATTGTTAGCGTATGCAGCTGCAACGAAAATGCTCTCGTATTGGCTCATTGCGTGCACTCGGAGATTTAGAGCTTGTTAGAAAAGTGTGGCAGCGACATCCTGAACTAGGAGCTCGCGGGCTGACTGCGGATGCTTGGCAGCAGTCGCTGGTCACCTGGATGCATGATCTCAGACCAGTGTTATACAGTATAATAAGTTAGAGCTACACATGAAGCAAGCTTCTGAGCTGCAGGCAGAATATCGGGCACACTGCTGCTAATTGACTCCCGGACTTAATTACAGGCTTATGGCTATAATGTCCACAGCTGGTTTTCGATGACCTCGTGTGCCTCAGCGTTGATCCAGAGATGAATTTTGTTGAACAGCCTCGGTGATGGGATTAAATTTCCTGGACGCCAGAGGTTTATCGTCGAAAGCTCTACTCTATAGTCACCATATACAACAACTCATTGACTGGCATGTGAAAACTCTAATGGCACTGCAGTAGAATGTTAGATAGATCTCGGAGTGTCGCACCTCAAAAAATCCTTAGCTATTGTATATATGGGAAGACATGCTGCTTAACGCATCAACAGCATTCTTATTCCTCGGCACTGTAACTTGCTATACAGATATTGCTTCGCAGTAGTACATTATGAAAAATCAGTTTTCTGCACGGCATGAAAATAATATATCGTGAATTTCGTTGAGACCTGCTCTTTTCATAAATCAACTTGTTTGCTTTTGTTGGTGGCTTGATTCTAGATACAAACTCCTCGCTGTTGCAGTTTCCGTTCTTGTAGCCTCTAAATTATGGGCAATGCGTAAGGAATAATTTCAAGAAAATTGGCACGTCTACACTCCAGTCTTTCAGATCCAATGGGTCGAGCACTCAACACTGAATGAAGGAACAAGCGACGAAAGGTTACAATGCTCCGGCACGATGATGAAGTCCTGGACCCAATATAGAATGACGCTGTTGCACCCCGACCAGCACCATCTCATTCACCTCTAGGAGTAGCAGTCAATCAAATTTGTCTACTAAACCGCGGCGATAGTATAAATGCTAACCAGCAACTGTAAGAGGAACCTACTTTCCAACTTCATGGTACGACTCTCGAGCTTTCCAGACCAAGTGATCAAAAGACGAGAAGCTACTCTAGCCATCGTATGAGCTCACAGAAGTACGTCGCGTCCTCCATTCTGAAGTACCCTGGATTCTCGATATGAAGTAAATCGGCCGTCCTTCCGAATGCTGGCTATTCTAGATCTAGAGGATCCCCTGAACTGCATGTGATGAATTTCGTGGAAATGCTAGAACAGGTATAGACGGCAGGGCGCTCACAAAGAATGACTAAACTACTCTGAGACCACGTTATAATCACACGGTGTTCTTGGAAAGAGAAAACTTGGCAGTCTTTGCATCCATCGCGTGTGTCGCCCTCCCTGTCCACAGCATCTCAGTCTTGAAAAATGGCATGACGAAGACCACCTTCCGAAAGTCTGCCAACTCTTTGGAGTCGAAGCAGCCTCGCCAACCGCGCTATGAAACTACATAACAATGAGTCAGGTTCGAAGGAGTCTTTACACTACTCAATGCAGGCGTTGTCGAAGATGCATGTGTCCGTCTCACTCATCCATCTCCGACCTTCTCTCACCTCCAGTGCCCCAGAGCTTTGACGACAGCGATGGATTCCTTCTGGGACATATCGAGAAGGTCCGGTCATGTAGAAGTCGCCGCCATGTCGAATGATGGAAATCACGAGGTAAGCTGGTGGACAGAACAGCAACCTCTTGTCAGTGAGCGATCGCTTGCTGATGATAAATATCGATGCCTGCTGAAACTACGGAACAAGTTCCAGCTATGATGACAGTAACGACAAGTAGAGAGTTCTGATCGATGATGTGGAGGACGAGAGATAGGAGGCCTGTTCATGAATAATAGAGTTTAGGATCCGTTCTGAGTGAGTTCCATTTAGTAGATGAGAAGCAGATTAGCAGCTCTTCCTTAATCTAGTCTCTTTAACTTTGGCTTGAATCATGTACCAAGCTTCGCAAGATATTCTCGTTTGAGATAACCTTCTCAAACCGAAGGATATGGCCAACAGTATAACGATGGAGGTTTATGGCCTCAGGACACTATTCGGAAGACAATAAGTGAACGTGAACAGTGGTACGTAAGTTTGACAGAACTGACACAACAGGATGGACAGGAAGAGTGTGCTCGACTGGAACTCCTCGCTGCCGGGACGATTATCAAGTCCATTGACTCCAGTTCTACTTCTTTAGTAGACAGGAGTCTGAGCATCTCATTTGCAAAGTTTCTCGGTTGCATCACACTGCCATACTAAACAGCTAAATGACCTGCTCGTTTCAATTTAGGCTCCTAAGGAATCCATCTTATTAGCATGAACTTTACTGACCATGGCTTGCTCCTACCTGATAGCCACTCGATATCTGATCGAGATCATTCTCGACGTAGACACGACAGCCGGGAGAGCACGCTGTCGTGTCTTCGTCGAGAATTATATTTACGTATCTCCTTGAGATCACGGAGATATGTGTGAGATTCTGAAAAGATCGGATGGCGTGCGAACTGTCACATAAGTGTCTCCCTTCTGATGCAAGCTGGTTTGTTGCACTGCACGTAGAAAATGCTGAGTTGGAAAACTACAGCCAGATAGTGTCGGATCGGAGTTGTTCAGTTAAAGTTCACTTCGATCTAAAATTGACAGGCATGATGTTCAGGTCCACCAAACCGATCATGTTCTGGATTCTTAACATGAAACCATTGATCCATGACCCAGGTCCCCATCTCGAAAGTGCTCGAGCCGCCGTCGCTGTGAACAAGTCTACTGGACAACAACTGCTAAAGAGCTAGGACCTGTGCTGCACACGCTTAAGTATCTCGAAGGTAGAGCTCCAGAGGCCATGTGGTGGGAATGCACCATAAGGGATCAGTCGATGTCTCTCGGGACTTTGGCACACGAGTCGGGGTTCGAGCCCGAGTTCAGTCAAGGAGTTAAGTGAACTAGTCGACGGATTGACATCTGGTAGGAGCCACGGGCAGGAAGCGACTTCACGTGCCGATGGGCTAGGCATCACTTCATCGAACTCTTGCAGGAAGTCTCGACCATGAGTATCGACACAGCTGCTCACGATGCAAAAGAGCTTCTGAACGCTACGCGAGTCCAGGTTCAGTTTCTTTAGCTGCACATTGCTAGGATGTTTCTAGGATTCTTACGGTCTACTCTATTCTCACAAGGATCCAGGTACTACGATTTAGCTAGGCTGTGACAGTTGCAGCAGCAGGTTTCGGTTTCCTTCGCTTGGCACCTTCGGCAAGCATCAGCCACTATGGCAGGAAACGGTTTCAAATTCATGTCATTCAGTGGTCTGGCGCGGATCCGGATGCCATTCATGGTCTTCGTGCAGCTACTGACTCTAGCGACTGGTCAGCTATCGTCTGTTTGTTTCCAAATGAGTCCATCTCCGAAACTTGCGTTTTTTGTGGATCCTTTACCAACTCCGCCCTCCATCAACGTGTCGGATGGCCGAAATCATGTGATCAAAGCTTTCAAAATAAAACAGGTACGGTGTTCTGCAGTTGGACTTCCAGCTCGATCACTCGTTTCTCTCTCTCTCACACGTAACGAAAGTACGTTCTTCCTCTTAATGAACTGTCAACTTTCCTCCGTCAGAACGAAACGGAAGGAGGTCGTAGATCGTCCGCATTTCGGAGGTTATATTGCACTCAGTCTGGATAAACGTTGAGACATATGTCTTCATTATTTCAGATTCGTTGCAGCACAAGTTTCTAGATCTTTCACTGCTTAATAATGTGGACTCTCGTTTGGAACTTCTCTCGAGCACGTTCTCTCGCGTACTTGCTTCCACCACTGTCACAAACATTTGCTTCACTTTTTGTGCATCCATTGTAGGTTCGACTGTCACACAAAGATTATAGATAGTGTAGATATTATATATCATAAAGAGATCACAACCTCCATATTATGAAGATTTATTCTAAGTTTTATTCAATGGATTGTGAGATACGATCAAACTAATGAGATGATCCGAGACTGCCTTGAGATCTGCCCGCGGTTTTTCTTGAGCACGGGTCCATCATTGCAAAGGTTCAGATGTTGATTATGTGGGACGGAGTTTGGATGAGAAGTAAGAGTAGAAAGAATGTGGAGGCGGGCTTGAGGGATGACCTCGTTCGTGGTGGATGCAGAAGCTGCACCGTGATTTGCCGTCGACCGAGCTGTACGCGTACGGGACGAGCGAGTCGACGGCGAGCTACCCGGGGCCGACTCTGGAGGCGAGGAGAAACGTCCCGTCGAGGATCCGGTGGGAGAATCACATCGCCGATCGGCAGCACATGTTTCCGGTCGACCCGACGATTGCCTGGGCCGATCCGCCGAACGGCGGAGTGCCCACCGTGACGCACCTGCACGGGATGGAAGTCGAGAGCGTCTACGACGGCAATCCGGAGTCGTGGTTCACCACGTTCAACGACACGGGCCCCAAGTTCGTCACGCAGGACTACGCCTACCCGAACTCCCTCCTGCCGTCGCTTCTCTGGTACCACGACCACACGATGGGCATCACTCGGCTGAACGTCATCGCCGGGCTGGTCGGCGCCTACGTCGTCCGCGGCCCCGAGGAGCCTCCGGGGCTGCCCACCGGGCAGCAGGAGGTGGTGCTCGTCATCCAGGACAAGCAGTTCCTGGCGAACGGGTCGATCAACTTCCCGTCCGTGGGAATCGACCCGTCCCTCCACCCGGACTGGTGCCCGGCCTACTTCGGCGATACCATCCTCGTCAACGGGAAGGTGTGGCCGTATCTGCAGGTCCGCCCGCTGCAGTACCGGTTCCGGATCCTCAACGGGGCCAGCGAGAGGTACCTGACCCTGTCCATGAGCCACCGCCGGCTGAAGTTCCTGAAGATCGGAACGGACGGCGGGCTCTTGCCTCGGCCGGTTTTGCTCCGGTCACTGACCATCTCGCCGGCGGAGCGAGTGGACTGCGTCATCGACTTCCGGCGTGTCCGGCCCGGGGCGCGTATCATCGTCTCGAACTCGGCGCCACTACCGTTCCCCGGCGGCGGAGGGATTCAGAGCTCCGACGGCAAAGTTCCCGTTATGCAGTTCCGGGTGCTCGAATCCCGGCAGCCCGGGGAGGAGCCGGTCGTGGACGTCAGCACCGTGCCGGCAAGGTTGGCAAAGCGGCCTCCGTTGGTTCCACATAACGCGTCCATAGTGTACCGGCATTTCACGCTGACGGAGTCCGTGAACCCCGTGGGAGTGAGCACGGACCTGATGCTGCAGAACCGCACTTGGGAGGATCCCGTCACCGAGGTGTCGCGGATCGGAGGGACGGAGATCTGGCAGTTCATCAACCTGACGCCGGGACTCGCTCACCCCATCCACTTGCACCTGGTCAAGTTCGTGGTGCTCAGTTTCCAGTCCATCGACGTTACGCGGTTCGAGCGCGGGCTCTGCTCGCTGAACGAGAGCTTCGGGCGCCGCGACAGCTGCTTCGTGGAGCCGCCGAGGCTGCCGGAACCTGAAGACTGGGGCTGGAAGGATGTGGTCACGGCCTGGCCCGGCAACGTAACGAGGATCCTTCTGAGGGTCACATCTCAAAGCGGGAGCAAGTTCCCCTTCGACGCGACTTCGGGGCCCGGCTACCTGTGGCACTGTCACCTGCTCAGCCACGAAGACAATGCCATGATGAGACCCTTGATCATTCAGAGATGAGCGACTGCGTGCCACTTTGCTTGCTTGCTTGCGTCTTCGGTCGGTTGGGTCATTGGGAATGTAGATTCGAGGCGTAGAGATAATTTAGACATCTTCAGTCGTTTACCGACCGAGCGCTCACTGCGCATTGTTTGTAAGTTTCAGTGAAGGATTTGCCTGTTTCCTTGTAGATGGCCATCTGCCGTGGTGGCATACCTTCTTCGATCGTTAAGGTTAGCTCGTTGATCAACTTCATCTCTGTACGACAGGATGGGATCTTCCAATCCTTCAGGCCATTCAGATGGCCCCCGCTGTCTTCTCTGGTATCCAGTGTTCGCCTTGCTCAGACTTTCTCACTGCTGCGTGCTCGAATCCATCTCGTGTTTTGCCCTGCTTCTTTGGTTTGTTTCTATTAACTGAAGGTGCAAGAAGACAGGCCCAGTGGTCTCAATACCATGTGCAGTGGTCAACCTGTGTAAGGAAAGCTTGGGAACGCAATAGAAACGATGCAATACATGAACGATTGGCATGTGTGATTGATTCATTGGAAGTAACAAGTGAAAACAAATACATATAGGACACAAATGACTGAATACAAGAAACAAACTTCGAGGTACCCAGCTGGTTTTCGAACCAATGTTCGTTTTAACGGTACGTGCACATACGTGTCTATGTACAAGTCCGTATCTACCTACATCAGGAGGGGGTTGAGTCAAGTCTTCACCCACTTTAGTGTGGGCTGAGAATGCTCGTGTAGTTTTAAATCTGTGCACAGGTAGCTCCATTGCCCAGAGTAATCTCTTCGATTTTACTTATAGGATTCTTGCAACGACCAAAAATCTCGGGTAGGTGCGTGGGTGGTGCTCCAACACTCAATATTGAAATTTAGCTCCATTCGCAACCGTGAGCGTCCGATTGCCCGCAAGGACTCGAGTGTGTTTAATGTGTACATTCCAATGTGCAACGACCAATTTAATCTTGGTCAGCAAAAACCATCTCAACTTTCTGATAAGCTGCTGCGTATAAATCACAACAATGATTCTCGAGACGGGACTATTCAGTATCATCAAAGTCAACGAAAGTAGCGTACGAGTTTTGAAAGCGTAGACTTTATCAATGTAAATCAAGGTCAGATATTCCTCCGCCCATGACTACGGCACTTTGTGTACATTTTGTGATGTTCCACGAGAGGTATGTGGAGAGAAGTAACAAAATGATGGAGGTATGTGTACATGCTCCTCATATTCTAACCTGCATATGGTAGACCGACGAAGATGTCTGTTACTATGTTGTTTCGAGGCAGAGTGTAGTACGGTTCAAATCAACGTTTCGGATGTCTTCAATAATAAAAGGAACGAGGTAAGCAACTTCGCTTCGTAAAAGAAAGAACAACAGGAGAGTAATTACTAAATTTGTGATGTCCATGATGAACAACGTGCCTTGAGGACGAAAAGAGTGCCAAAATACAAACGAGCAACCATAAGGAAAAGAATAAGACAGTCTGGTGCTTACTTCAGCCTAGTCCAACTCCTGATCTTTGCTTGGAGTTCGCGTCAGCTTTAATTCGTCGTGGACGAACAATGCGATCAATTAATCCATACTCAAGTGCTTCTTGAGAGCTGAATCGTTTAATACGACTTAGGTCCTTCATCACCTACACAAAGTCGCAAGCAAGAAAAGAGACGATAAATTGTTAACAACACTTGCAGTAGCAAAATATCGCAATTGAAGTCTTCAAAACTTAACACACGCAATACACGATAAACAAGCAGACATCTAGAACTCGGCTCTATAAAGTAACGGGGCTAAAAAATGTTCTTCAAGAAGTTTCATCCTTCCATCTGAAGACCGAAGTTTCAATGACCTACCTTTTCAATAGGCTGCCCAGTCTTCTTGGAGACCTGGTTGAATACGTAGTTCCTAACCCGAGAAAGCTCCTTTGCTTCGTTTTGAATATCATCGGCCTAAAAGATAGACCAAAAGATTAGACAGATCTATGCCAAAACAAAATGCCCGCAGCTTCCTCATCATGGTACAGAAGCAGATAGGTAAGCACAAGATTCACCACTTCGGCTTGTGTAGACGAGCAGTGCCCAGATGTAGCAGAAAAAGCACAATATAAACTCGGATAAATCTTACCGTTCCACGAGCGGCTCCTGACGGTGATTGGAGCGCAATCCTTGTCATAGGCATGGCTACGCGGAGGCCCTGCGCACCGTTGCATACAGAGTCAAACATCCTCGCCTCATAATAACTACAATGTTGTACTACATTTCACGAATCAGAATTGAAAGCACAATCAGCAAGTGAAAGACAATCCACAAAAAGCAGATTGCTCAAGTTTCTTTTTGTTGGACAGATGTGGCAGGCCAGAAATTACCTTGGCACCAGCACTCAGAAGTAGGCCGGCATTGTTGTACGCGTAACCAAGAGCCAAAGTTCCTACTTCACTCTTGATACTATCCATGGTATCATATATGGCCATGCAAGGAGTCATCTGGGGACAGCAATTGTCGCAAGAAGCTTCAGGGAGACAGTAAAGAACACGCTAGAAAATGCTTCAAGCCCTAGCAGCCTTACTATGTAAAAGTAGCATACAAGAGGAGACGCAACATTTCTCTTCTCTTAAGACAGCAACAGCTGCCGGTAGAAGTTGTACTCCGTTGAGGGTGCATTACAACAACCAAACTGAAAGGGAGTAAGTAACCTACATCTCCACCGGGACTGTTGAGGTATAGATACATGGGTTTTGTGTTATCAATGCTGTCAAGGTACAGCATGGTTGCGAGAATCTGATTTCCAAACTCCTCATCGATATATTGTCCTATGAATATGATGCGTTCCCTGTACTGCAACCATAGAAGGACAAAAGCTCAGCATCCAGCCTTCTGCTAAAATCCAATCACACATATCACATTATCCTGTAAATGCACGCTCTCAGCTGGCTGACTTCATTGATAGGCTATTTACCACATAGCAACATTCTCGACTATCCACATAGAGCAGAAGGATGGCAAGAGAAGTAAGCAGGACCCAGTAGAATGATGAAGATCACTCACAAGTACATTCCAGATGTCGACCCACTGCCAACCACCTTCCTGGGGAGTTCTGTAAGGAACTTTTGGAGTTCCGATTGGCATCATCGTCACCTGTGCACGACATGCTCCACTCTTGTCGCCCCTGATCCAATTCGGTATAAAGTTCCAAATCAAGATACTTTCGGGTATTCAATGTGGCGAAAAAATAAACTTCCTAGATTGCAGTCCAGGTAATAACCAAATCCTAAGCTGAGTGCACCACGTGTGAATTGGCACAGTAAACATACCTAGTTTTGAGGGAATTTTGCACTTTCTCGTGAAATGAGAGCGTCAACCCTTGCTTATGCAGCCTGTCTGCAATTATAGATTCAAATGAGACAAGAGGATACAGAGTAACCTAAATTGGTGTGATGGAATGAAACGAATTCATCGTGAAGGGAAATCTCTTCAAAAACTTCCTTCCAAAAAACAGATTCCATGGCCAGCTATGGTGGAATGAGAATTTCCGTGAGCGAATAAAAATCCAAACGCTTTGCAGCCACACTCCAATGTACCAGAACACCCTCTTCAACAAAGCAATCCATAATTCCCCTCCAGCCCTAACGCAGACATGTGAGAATGTAGAAAAACAAACCAAAAATAAAAAAACAGGATATGGAGCTCGAATCCTGCGGACGTGAAAACCAATTCACGACCAGTCCATAATAAGCTCTGCACTCTCCCAAACATTCAACGGAAAAAGACTCATCCACTGCCAATAAAATCGAAGAAGGGAAAAATTGCATACCATTGTTCACAGCTCGAAGTCCGTTGTGGAAGGCAATCGACGAAGACGAAGCAGCTGCAGCAGACTGCTCTCCTCTCGACGAAGAAGCGCATCTTGCGGACGACGAGACGAGAGCACTCGGGCACCGCGCCCCAGCGAGAGCAGCTAGAGCTTCCATTGAAGTGCCTGCCCTTCGTCCAAACTGTACAGAAATGATCCCCAATCCCAGAGCAGCGCTCGAGCCTTCCAAGCAAGCTCAAGGCGAAACCCCGTGCTCTCGTGTCCTCGCGGCCTTCATTCCGTTCGGATAATTTCCATGGACTCGATCCTCTTCCCCTGTTGCACTCGGTCGGTCCGGAGGCCGAACTCCGGTTCTCCGCGGGCTACCACGACGTCGTTCTCTACGCAGTTCTTTCCCTTCTGCAAGATCCTACTGTGGTCCACGAGTTTCGATAGATGTGGTTAAGATATCTTTCCTCCAGCTTACTGTTGTATGAACCATGTTTTCCGGACATTAGCATTGTCCATTGCCTTCGAGGGGCGGCGGGTTTCGCGTTAAACTGCCAAAAGTCTCCAAGTGTATGGGCTTCCATAAATCAACGCTTTCAGTTACAGACTTTGACAATTATTTGTTCATGTTCATAAAAGATTGACTATCTATAAAATTGGTCAACTCATTTATCTCTCCCCACAACATTGTATACTGATCATCGACAACACTACTTTTTCAATTTTCTAATAAACTCATCACTTCATGAACTATTCTCTGGATACTCTTAGTTTTATATAGACTTAGATAATTGAGCTATTTTAGGTGCATCAAATCAGAGGATAGGTGATGCCAGTGTGACCAAGCCCCAACCTCCTTCGGTTGGGTCATGGCTGGAAGGGGCTTCTCATCATTTTTGCTGTATGTATGTATATACATTTATTTATTCTTCCCTCATACCTACTGTACATTCTATGTTCAAATGTCACACGGTTAAACGACTCTCGCTGAAGAGTTCGACCTTGTACTGTAGCTTTAAGACTGAGCCATGCTGTCAAATATGCCTTCCACATTTGAGAAAAACAAAAACAAAAAAAATGCAAGCTCAACCCTCGCGAGAAACACGTGGCGGAATTGAGGCGGAATACCGAGGGAAGATCGATTTTAATACACTTCGAGGGCGGTTGCAGCTGGACGGCATATTGTATTTTATGTGTTTTAGCGCTATTGCGCAGAAAATGATTTTCACCTCTTGTTCTTGCAGGTCTTCACCAAGACTGAGCCTTGCTGTCAAATATGCCTTCCATATCCCGTTTCCTTGGTCTACGCAAAAATGTGCAGTACATGCTCGACCTTTCCATAGCCTTGAGTGTGTTTGCTGTGCTCATATCCGCTGCAGGCTTGTGAGGAGGGGATATTTCTTTGGCTTTAAATCAATCCTCTCACAGACGAATGTAATTGCGGTGGTGTAATGTGCAAGGCTCATACATCCATCTCACATTGTTCTCCTTCGGAACAAAAGTTGGAATCCTTGGTACACTCGAGCTGAGCCCTCGTCACTTTTTGGCTCATCTAGGTTCCACGCCTTTGGTATTAAGTCGTGTATGAGAGCTGTTATTTGTGGATGAGACTTCGCATGGGAAATATAATGCTTTTGTGTAGATTTTTAATGAATCAAGTGAAAAAAAATTTAAATCAAGATTTTTGATAATTTTGATTAGATTCATTTTGACTGGATACAAATCTTGATCATCATTTGATAAACATGAAACTATTTGATACATAACAATATATATTATTATATATATTGTTATGTATCACATATATAAGAATGCATTGAATAAATTGACACAAACAGGAGATATTGAAACTACGAGCTAGAAGGGAGTTATTTTGACCTCCCAATCACCTATGGATTTTCTCCTGGAAAACTAGTTTATCCATAGGTAAAAAAATTTCACTCTTTAATTTTACTGAAAATGAAAATTAATTTGATGATGTCACTGAGAACAAATTTTGTGAATTTTTTTCAAGTTCCGGAAAAAATTTCAAGAGGCATTTACATATCGAAAGGAATGAATGATGAGGTCAATGCGTTGAACAAGCATAAAGCCATTACAATAACTGAAATATATGCAAGTGATTGAGTTGTTTATTTCTGAAATTGATGTTAAATTATATAGTTTTTAGACCATAGCATGTCTTTGTATATAGTATTAAACACTTGTGATTGTTTTAGAATTCATATTGAGTTATCGCATAGTTTTGAACTATTATTTATTACTCCATTGAACATTATCTTGGAGGAACAGTAGAGTTCGAACGATGGCCCAGATTTTAAATGTACAGTTAATTTTCTGTAGTAATAAATTATCATGTGAATACAGATTTTATATCTCATTATTTGATAACATATATAAGTTATTATCGAATTAAAGTTGATTCAATTTTCAATTTCTATGAAAAACGAATATATTAATCTTAGTTTCGAAAAAGCTCAAAAACATCAAACGAATAAATTTATGCTTATAAAATGTTGAACTTAGAAATGAAGGACTTTAACATTTTTTAATAAATATTTTCAAAACAAAAACAGATCTCAATCAAACTACAGAATTTACACACTGTAAAAAATGGATTTTTCAAAGTAAAATACAAGTTGAATACATCTAAAATAACTAAAATATTTTTGAACTATTTTCTTACAAATTAAAACCTATACCTAAAATCTTATAAATAATTATATATTTATATCATATCATAATATTTAAAAAAGTTCATTTAGATTTTAAAATATATTTTTAGATTTTTTAATATTGAAAATGGATTTTTTTAATTTTTAAATGAAAATAATGTATTTTTAATATATTATTATAAATTAAATACATTTTAAGTAAAAAAATTTAAACATCATATCATCTACTTTGAATATAAGAATTTATAAAAATGCGATGATAAGGATATTATTTCCTTATATTTTAGAAATTAGATAATTTCTATGTTTGCTATCAAAATATATTGTAGTTGCTATTTGTTACAAATTTTTCTTTCTTTTTTCTATTTATGTGTTAAATATGGCATAAATTTTAAAAATTAAAAATTTAATCTGTATTGAAATTTAAGGATTACAATTCACGTTGAAAAATTCTATGTGTAGAATATCTAATTTAAATTAAAAAATTCACAATGAAAATACATACTGCGTATCATTAAACATATGCAGAAATCTACTGCACATTTTCATTCACGATATAAATTTGTACCATATGTTAGAAAAAAATTTGTGCACGAATATCTTGAAAGGGATGTACGTATCGAATGAGATGCTTATGTTTTACCACATCAAGTGATAAGATACTTTAAACATTATAATTAGGAAATAAAAGTTGAATGATATGTAAAATTTGGAAGCATATGTCAAATAGTTATGAAGGTGATTTCAGAATCCGTACAAGGCAGACCCATACAAACTACCTGGATAAACCTAGAGAACGAAATCATTATTGTATTCAAAAGCTGGAAAAATATAATTTTGTTTTGAATTTCTCATATTGACCAAAGCTGATATCGAAATGTTCTCTGACCCAAAAGGTGTTTGAGGGTTGAACTTTCAGGATTTGGTATATATTTTTCTTTTCACCCAATATATAGATACGTGATCGTCGTGGATTTGAAGTTATCCCTGTTTAACTGTTTTGATGGGTACCACCATCATTTTTTGTTATCTACTTGGGTCCATGAATTTGACTGTATTCAGATGTTTACATCTGCAAGCAACGAGTGAACTTAAGATTAGCAACATGATGAAAATTGAGTTCACTTGGCACCAAAGACTGCTTGGTAACAAATATGCGTCAAAACATGTTTTATGTACTTGCGTATGAAGGAATAGAAGAATAATCTCTTTTTATCCTTTTAATATTATTATATGTTTTATTTTTGGAAAGAGGAATATTCCTGTTTGCACTATTCTCATAACTGTTTGAGCGAATCTGGTTGTCACTGTTCCATAACATGCACACACCTAGATAATTACGTTTATTGTGATAGAGATCACTAGGTTGTCGATTCAGTTGAGTGCACGAGAAACCGTCTTGCACGTAGATAATCTCCTTTTACATGATAAACAACAATGTGTGAACTGAAGTTACACAAATTCTTTCCTCCATTGCACTTTCGCTAAAATTAGTTTCTCACCGAGAATGAAGTCAACCTAAACACAATGAACGGTGAACAGGAGTATTTTACCGGCAGATTTTTCGATATCCTCACCGAAGGCATAGATATAAGTGGAGAACAAATGACAAAAATGTTTTTGTTCGGTGGTGAGGATCACGACGGTTGGAATTTCTCGCCTCAACATTGAGAAGAACATTATCCAGTCTTTCAAAGCTTGACGGGGCTTGGGGTAGGTAGGTAAAAAGTCATTCATGTGTTTCCTTACATCTTGGTCTAGACGGTATGTCAGGACTGGGTTCCATGATAGTCTTCTGGTTTATTCTCAATCTTCACGTTGTGTCTCGAAAATCATCATTTCTTTGTCAGCCCCATACAGTTAGACACTGTGTTAAATCTGACTTTGGTTAACACTGTCAGATTTACCACAGAGTTCTTCAAAACGAAATTATCATCTCATGTTACCATTACTCTCATATCCTCTACCCTAGACATACGCTTACATCAATAATTCAGGTCTAAGACCACAAGCGATCAAAAAAGCTTTAGAACTCAGAGATATACATAGCAAGATGGGGGGGAGCCCGAACATGTGGTTATGAAATGAAACCAACGGGTTACTACGAGGCTAGGTCTCAAAAGCATCGCAATGAATATTCTCTTATATTGTTGATTACTAAAGCAACGGAAGAAGCATCACGCAACGTGGATCAGTGTACTAAAGAGTGCACCGGCCATCATTATTATAGTAGAGCAATGGCTAATGCACAACGTGTAAAATATGTTACAGATATAATAAGAGGTATTAAAGTCGATTGCCAGATAGTATTTGAGGTTACACTTAATAGATCAAGAATTTTTTTTTGCTCAGATCACATATAAATTTAATAATACAATGTTATTAGGAAAGAACATAACATATTCACATGCCACTACACTTGAAACGCATTGGATTCTATGGTTTAACTGGTGTATTTAATATGAGATTGGTTATCACATTTCTAAAGGCGTGCAATGTTTGAGTTCATAATCTGGTGAACCTTGGTACAAAAGCATAATATGGTGCCCAGCCACATTCTATCTCTTCGGTTGTTCACTCTTAAAACTCGAGGGGTCTTCCCGTTCTTCGATTGGGTATTCTCGCGCTTCTTGTCTTTTCTTCATAAAAGCATAAATTACAATTACTTGGGTACGGAAGGGAGAAAATTGTCCACCACCCTATCACAATAATCGTCATCCGGATTTTCTCCGAGAGATATCGCTATCAACAAAGTTGCTGCGAACATTCTCGCTCTCGCCGCGATCGGCCAGAAATCCGAGGAAAGTGCACGCGCCCGCAAAGCAAGATCGGATGAGAAATGGATGCCACAGGTTCGCCGGACCGCAATTACGATGTCGCGCCAAAGCGCCGTGACGATCGATGCCTACGAGTTGCAGGGCAGATCGCGCGCAGCTCATCGAGCACCTGAGCTCGTGTCCCCTCGTCTCACACATGGCGATCGAGATCAGGCACATGTCGGGCCCGAGAGCTCACGTCAGAGCTTCGAGTACGAATCTCCGAAAGCACGTAGCGTCGGAGCTCCGCCATCGAGATTCTGCTCCAGATTGGTTACCGGGAGGCCCGGATTGGGTGCCAGTACATACCGTATCGTATGGGTCTGGCCGAGCCTGCGTCAACGCGCGCTGACCGCGACCTGCCTCTGCTGCCAGTGACCGCGGCCCAGTCGCGGTCGTGACTCAGCAGAATCCAAAGCTGTTCGACCTTCGTCGCGTCCGGTTTAAGACTCGTATCGTGCTTTCTGTTAAGAGTCTTCCACATCTTCATCGATCATTTATTATCTCGTGTCTCGTCATTTCATGGCAGAATGTTCCAACCGTAATATCTTCAGACGTCCGAGGGTGCTCGTGTGCTAACCTGGGACACCGTACAGAAAGCCCGGCCTACAATATATCGAGAGTTATTTTAGAGAAAAAAACCGATGTATGGGAAATGATTGTACATTATGGTAAAGGGTTATTCGGAGAAATATCAATGCAGTAATATATTAAATTTTTTTAGATCTATGATATTTCGATTTCGATTTTTGGTATTTTAGGAACTAGTTAACAAATTCTCTATATTCGATAGGGAACTTCTCATGAAAAGATAAATGAATGAATAATAATTAATGCCAAAGGATGACGATTCATTCAAGTTTCAAGAGTTTTGCTTTCTTAGTATGAATAGCTTTACGTTCAAGTGACAGAGAATTAGGTGGTGGCCAAATAATCTAATCAAGGAGAAAATGATCACCCGACTTCAATTCAGATTAATAAAGTATTCTTATGATCTTGGTTTTGATAAGGTGTGAAAGTTAGGATGTCGTTGCATCTTAATGGACGGAAGCAGGCGGTTGATAGGGTTTTGAGAGTTACCGAGTTTGGCCCGATCGGTCGCGAGGTGAAACTGCGGTGGAGTTTGAGAAAGCGAACCACGTGACTGACGAGGAGACACAGTGGCGCTGGGAGCGACTGAAGCATCTGTCACAGTGTGACCCATGCGCCGGCAACTCAGTTGGAGTGACTGCCTGACTGCCCCTTGACTGCCCCTCGACCTGTCACCGACAGGCTCTAGGACCAGTTGGGTCGCAACAAGACCACATAAAGACTGCGAGCGTTTCACGTTGGGGCCACTGCTTACGCCGACGGGCGGTGACAGCTGAGTGCCCCTTCCCGATAGCCGACGTGGAATTAAGCCAAACGACTCGCAATTCCGGAAATTAAGTTGCTCCGACATCTTTGGAATTGAGCTTTTTTTAAACCAATATTTTCGGGATATTATTCCAGTCTTTTTTCCCGTGTGGGGTCCAATAAAAGAAACCAAAGTACTGTTAAGAACAAACTAATTAAGCTTAAGGATCATGCAAAGCTTCATGGGGTTCCAGTCCAAGGAAAAGAAATAAAGTGCAACAGGGCATACAATCTCTAAATCCCAATGATTTATTTATTTATTAGGGTGCTCACACGTCATCAGATTTACAGTTGTATGAGGAAGATGATCATGATTACCTTTCTTTCTTTCCCTCGGGAAAAGAGTATATAGAATCAATAGCTAAATTGCGTAGTATTTAGCGTGAGATTACATAAAACACTAGATTTAAATGTATTTAGTAGGTAATGAATGTATTTTTGCACAGTCCAAATCAGAGTCATGTTCGAACATTAGTATTCATTTGCACTAAACTTTCGCGTAAAGAGTTCTGCGTTCTTGGACAATCCGTTGCGTTCTTGGACTATACGTTCTGCTCGTGGCGCCGTAAAGTGCATAGAACTTTTACAACGTGGATGGATATATATGGACTTCCATGGACTTCCATGCCCATGGAAGATATATATATACGTTTCCGGGAACATTTCCGTCGCTCCGGATGCGGCTGGTGAACCGAAGGTGAACCTCACAAGTCTTCGGCAGGACTCTCTCCGACATTATTTGGACGAAGGACGCGGAAATAGCAGCAAACTAAAAATAAGGTACACTCCTATTCAGAATTTTAGGAGTTTACCGTAAACGCAATTGTACCATATAAAATTGGGGCATACCGTTCGCGGGGTCCTTTTTCCCGGAGAATTAAATTAGGGGAAAAGACGGCGAGTAATTATAAACGGGAAATATAAAATTAGGGAAAAAGACGGCGAGTAATAATAAACGGGGAACCGAAGCTTTTATGAGGAGTGCCGAGCAGCCTCATCGCAAGCAGTCGCGAGTCGCGAGCCTTGCTTGCTTGGAGTGCAGCCGACCGGAGCGCAGCGCAGCGCCAGAGGAAAGTGCGAGAGTCGTCGTACGAACGCTCGCCCGTCCGCCCGCTCGCTCGAGCGTTTATGGAGGTCGACGCGCCGATCTTGGTCCACAGAAGCGCTCGCGAGAGCCTGTGACAGAATTGCCGTCCTCCCCGTCCTCCCCCTCCAGCCCAGCCCGGAGTGCCGGCTGGTGTTTCACTGCCCGGGCTCCGCGTGGAGGTCGTCGGAGGAGCAAGGAGCTGGAGCATGGATCTGCGGCCATCAGGGAGCAGCAAGACGAGTTCTGCTTCGGCCTCGGGCTGTTTCAAGAAGGCCGGGGTCTGTCGGTGATCGGTGCATCAGCGAGGCGAAGCACGAGCGGGCGTAGAATTAGTGCGAGGGAAGTCCGAGGGCAACGTTTGGAGGCTTTCTGTACGGGAGCAATTACGCCATTTCTGTACGGAATCAACTACGTCTTTGTGTATCGACCTTCCTTCGCCCTCCGTACGGGAGCAATTACGCCCGGCGACCCACTGCTCTCCTGCCTGTTAGATTTTTGTCTTACCTCCAGCCCGTCCGAGGCCCTGTCGTCGTAGATTTCTGTCTCCATGCCGAAGGCTTCGAGGGAGAGCGGATCGGAGCACCGGTCGCGTCGCGATCCGGAATCCAGAGGAAGAGCCTGTAAGTGAGCGTGTGTTTCAAAGTTGATGCTTGCGTTCTTTGATCATCGGAGAAAGAGGTGCATGTATGATTTTTGCTCCGTGTGGCTCTGTGAAGAATTGGATTCGCCGAGCTGATGTAATTAGAGTGGCCGAATGGAGGAGCTTGAAGTGTTTTTGTTTTTGAGTATGAAATTGTTATTGAGCTTCAGGAAGGAGGAGGGTTCTGTATTCTGATGCCTGTGATCGGGCTTTGTGATGCAGCAATGGCTCCCTTGAGAGTAGCTCCGCCTCTGGAGGAATTGTGTGTCAGAAGTGCTATCGACAACCTGGATTTCATCGGAGATGTCGGGCACACTGATGCCAACCTTCTCAAGATCATTTTGCCCCATTGTACAGCTGAGCAGCTGCAAAAGATTGAAGATACAACCAAGGTGAAGGTTGGTGTGGATTTCGTGACTTTCCAATAGAGGGGAACTTCGCTTTTGGACTCTTTGGTCTTGACAAGTAGGATGCATGTGAAAGTCTGACTACGGTCTGACTGCGGCACCATATCTGCCGACTTAGGTGTAATTTCGACTGTATTGAGGATCATAGAATGAAAATCATTTAGTTGTTGAAAGAAATGTTAGGGTTTGAGAGCTTCGTCTCGAGACTCAAGTTGTTCAATCGGATGAGTTGCAGGGCAGAGACCTGAGTCCAATTACGAATGAGCTATGGCTCAGGCATTATTCTCGTAAATTTGGAGATGAAAACTTGAAGACGGTCATGGACAGAATGAAGAAGACCAACAAATTCTTTAAGTGGAAAGCTTTGTATCAGGTAAATTTCGCATCCATCTTACATTGCAGACAGAGTCGCGGTTTGTTTCAATCTATGGAAAGATCCGGAGATAACGACTACTGTGTTGAATGTTGGATGTCCGGTATTTTGACTTTGTACAATAATATGCAGTTGAACCTATATTGATATCCATTACCGCCCTTTGATAAAATCCGGAACTGCTGTTTTAAATTGCATAGAAGGGGAAATTGGTATGGAGTACTGGGCTCTCAGCTTGAATATCTGACATGGGATTTTGAATTCAATTGCAGGCTAAACTACGGGAGCAAGACGATGTGGAGAAGAAGTGTGTTGAACGCCTCAGAGAATTGTACAAGGAGTCTTCAGAAAGTGAGTATTTGACAATTACTGTTCTACAGCAACCAGGAATTGTTTGAACTTAATATTCCCAGATTCAATTTGGATATGGAAAAACGTTTTTGTTCGGCTGCTTTTGTTATTCATGAGCAGCAAGGTGGAGGAACTACAGCAATGTGAAGAAATTAACCTCCAGCTTCTCCAGATGTTATTGAATTGATCAACATTTCCAGCCTGATACTAGAAACTAACTTTGGATTTCGGTCTGAAATCGCAGAGAAAGACAGTCGCAAACTACAGCAGATTGAACTCATGCCTCCTCCAACTAAGAAGAGGAACTTTGGGTCTACAGGAGGAGGTATTTTCGTTTTGAATATTGAGTTGTACCTGAATTTATCTACTTTGAACATATGAAAATTACTGGGTTTTGGATAGTTAACGTGTTAAGAGCTTCACGATTGCAATATTTTCTTAGCAATATATCAAAATATGGCAGTGTAGTATTTCTCATGTCTTTTGTTTTCTCTGGTCAGGTGGATCCTCTGGTCGCTTTGGTGGTGGAGGATCATCCTCTCGGTTTGGGAAAGCTTCTGACCCAGCACCCAAAGGTCGATTGATGAAGAAGGCAAGAATGGAGTATGCTGCCAGGTAAGGACAAAGGCTCGAGCACCTCTTTTTAGCCGCTTCAGTTTTAAGGTTTGAAAGTAATTATTGTGATCCAGTATAAGAAATAATGTTCATATTTTTATTGAATGCATTTTATCATCTGGGAACCTTGAAGCTCTATGGCTTGCCCATAATTCGGATCATACACGTGCTGTTGAAGTTGGCCATGTGACCTTTCGATACTCCACTCATAAAAACAAAGTGGTTGTTACAAGATGCGAGGTGCTCATTGGTTCATCCTTTGTTTTTTTGTTTGAATCCAGCAATGAAGCGAAAAGGCTTCAACAAGTTCGAAAGAATCCACCCGGTCGGAGATAAAGCTCTTGCTTCGAGAGATGGGCTGAACGACATCGACCATTGTTCCATGTTGCAAGAATTGTTGGCGATTTCTCTCTTGCAGCCTTGATACTTGCTGCGTAGTTTTCTTTCGGAACTTACATACAGATTTCCCTGTTGTGCAATCATTTATTGCATGCACTTGAGGAGAGGACTGTCTGTGGTTGTATGAAATCCAGCAGGTGGCCTCGGCGTAAGCTTCTTTGTAGGTAAAACACGTGCAGCGATGTTCTTAAGTAGCCTCATGCAGCCTTATTCACCTTTGTACAGTTAGTTTAGTAGGTCCTAGATGGCAATTTTCCCAACGTGGTTCAATCTACTTACTTTGACGCATCCGACATTAAAGGGTTGCTGTTCCCATGCCACGATTTGTTCCGCACTCAATATTTTGGAGATGGAGGTGGTCAGACATTCTGACAGCTGCAAACTTGATTTGAGGGAATGTTTTGTTAGATAGGTAGTTATTCCTGTATGATTCAGGGGCAAGTTTCATGGCGTTAGGAGATACTGCCATGCACCTCTCTGCACATCATGTCTTTTAGTTCTGCAAGTCATAAGCAGGTGTAAACTTATAATAGAAAGCTGTAGGAAACCTAGTCAATCATTTTAGCTATCAGGGTTTGAATATTGCACCGGAAGGATGTGATGAGTAGGTTCCAGTGCAGTTTATTGCCCGAGACTGTCGAAGAATTTTGTACTCGAATGGTGATTGCATGGTACGGGATCTGCCACGTCGCAGCATATCCAAACAAGTGCTCCAACCCACGACAGTAGCCGAGTAACCGAATATGATCACGAATTTGAGTACGAATTGCGTAATTCTTGTATGCCTGGCAATCTATCTACCTTTCCGTTCGTCCTTTTACCAACATTTGTTCATGTTCGGAGTGTCCGTGACATAGTTGCGAAGCATCGAATTGAGTATTTGTGGTCATATCAGTTTTTGCAGCTCTGTTATGTGTGCAGGGTAAAGGGTACACGATAAAAGAAATCGAAGGACTGAACAATCTGCTCTCTATATGCTGGGAATCGTTTAGGATTTAGATTCTAAACCGTGGACTCTGCATCTTAAGGATCACATTAAACCATTACAAAACCTGATGGGTATGTGCAGATGTTACTGGATTGGAATCCTTACGTCGATTCGGTTTGTCTTTCTTGGAGTCTATCGAGATTTAATTTTCTAAATATCTTGATAATGCATATCGCAAGCACGGTTGCATGCTAACACGACGAGCAGTATAATCTACTCCCTTGGAAAGGAACTCGCAAATTATGACTTGTGTTTTCCATGAAAGCTTTTATTATAGCGGGTACATTTCACGATCTTGAAAACCATTTCTGAAGTCTTACCTTTAGTGGATAGTGCTTCCACTGGTTCATGAACTCGCCAGCTAGCGAGTGGTGATTGCAGTGTAGACTGAGCCTTACATCGTGGTATGTCGATGCTGCAGAGTGCGAATGCACACAGTGTCTTGGAGATCTGCACTCACGATCTGTGCATTGTTTGGCTCGTGCACTGAGTAATGAGCGCCACATCTTCTCTGCAGCTGCTGATTTGTGTGGATGCTTTCATATGAGCAAATACAGTAGTGCGGGCGGGCGTTCATCATGTGTCATCCACGTCTACTTTGTCCAGCTTGGAGGTTTTCGACGTTTTGATGGGTGACCTGATCAAGGATGTGAGTTATTACGGCCGTGCTTGCCTCCCTCACTAGATTGGTTGTGGCAAGTGACACTCATACAGTAGCCATTAACCTGGCAAATAGTAGTACTGTAGTAGAACCTGTTTCAAGAGTTTCGTGCACATCGGATGTAGAGCATAGTTTTGCCTACAGGTTCGACTCCTGAGACGAATCCATGTTTCTGTATCGGGTTTAAGTTGCCTGTTGTGTGGGTAGGAAACGAGGTAATACGCTCATCCTTGAATCTAACGATGATTGCGTCAGTTGTGGCATATTGTGGCCAGAAAGCAATTCTGGCAGCCACTTCGCAGAGCAGCTGCCTGTAGCCCCGTACATAAGCCTCGGCAGGTAACTTTGTGCTGATTCTGTAATGTGCTATCGGCGCTGGAAAGTTTTTATCTCATTTGTTGTCCCTGTGCGTTGACATTCACTTCGAAACGTTTGCTCGTTGGCAACTGGATGCGTCCCCGTTGATATCTTTGTTGCGGACGAGCAAGTCCGATCTTAGTCTACTAATAGTACCAGAGGGATGTCAGGAATTACGCTGTAGGTTTGTCAATGACGAAGTGGTCGAGAAAGGACAATTTGTGGCAGCTGCAAACGACTTTGCTCCTGCTATTTTTCATCGTCATGTTGGGCGATGAATAAAACGATGAAGTTGTCTTATCTGGACAGCTAAGACAACTTCATGGTTTTATTTGCGGGCCTCTTGACGGACTAGATCATACTGCATTTTTTTCCCTCGACTGTTCAGACTGCCTTAAAGATAAGGTCAGGCTCTGTTCAGAATGCACGCCGACTGTGGCGGGAAGAGTCTGACATATATCATCGTACATCAGTGAACTGTTCTTCACATATCCAGGAATCAAAGACGGATCTTTGAGGTAAATGAAGTGTAAAGGAACTTGAATTACTTTTTCCAGATTAGTTTTACATTCATACGGATGTCATTATATATGCCTGTGCCATTTTGAGAAAACGGATATACTTATTTCTGTTTTCGCAAAATGAGAATCAAACTGGCAAATAATGGATAGAGGATTGATCTTAAGTTTTACCCCAGTAATTAACTAGGTTTTGAAACTGACTAAAACATTCGACGAATATTCATTCAATGTGAAGTGGAAAGAGGTAACTCATTAGAGACAAAGTGAATTTGTCTGTCAAAAATAGTAAAGAATTTCATAAAGTCACTAAGTATTAATTAATCATGTGGAAATTTAACAAGAGGTTTAAAAAAATTGTTGTAAACGAGGTAGATTGAAATAAATTTTTTGTTTACTTTTAACGAATATCAATTTTCAAAACAAAATACGCATATAATTTTTTTTAAAAATTAAATATACACTCTACTCATACAAAATAGACGATCGTGTGATAAAACAGACTTATTTAGTGTGACTGGTATCGAAAAAAAACTACTCTAATATGTGGTGTACATTAAAATGAAATTAATGTGGAGTGTATTTAAAATAGAGTCATCTGATTTCGTACACGACAATTTACCGAAATCTTGTTTCACTTCCCTAACAAGGACGAGGTTATCACCAGATTACTTTCCATCCAATCCACAGATAGGCAATCTATGAGTCAGCAATTATAACTCCGAGCTCGGTTATTTGAACACTTTTGAAAACCAGTTGATCTTTGCATAAAAAGTGCACAAAAGTGCAGCTCATCAGGAATGTGTTGAGCTAAGTTACTGAATCGGATTTCTGTAAAGAAGAATACTCCCTCGTTTTAAGTCTACCAACTTCTTCAGACTCTGGATGTTAAAACTCAGCGGTCAAGAAGTAATTACCATTGCCTGTGGACATTACAAGCAACTATACTCTTTGAAGTGACTCCGTGGGAATCCTTCTAAAACCCATCCGTGTTCATGAAATGCCAAAAATATTCTGTTTCAATTTGAGGATAGTCCTGATTCAAACCTCGGATAAGTTGATCGTAACCCAAAACCATAACCTGCTAGCTAGTCTGAAGGACCGGCTAGCTTGAATATCTGGCTGGCTTAAATACAGTTGTGATGGTCGTGTGCTTTCAAATGGGCATTTGCGTTTTGCTGTTGTCTTTGCAGCCTACTGTGTGAGATTTATATCCAGTAAATACTGATATTTTATTCTTACCACAACTCTTCCATTCAATTTCTTACTTCACAAGCGTATGCCGCATCTGGCTGTAGGATGTACGATTAGAATACGACTGTATTTTACAACAAATAAATATTTTTTCCGTACCCTAAAGATTCCTAAAATGCAAGGTTACATTTCCAAAATCATTCGTAAATGCGCAATAGAGACCTACTTCATAACAAGAAGCCCGACATTCAAGACCAATCTAATCTTTATATGTACCAGGAGAAATTTCGGTATCCGAAAATTTATCACAAACCTGCATTGTAAATCTGCTTTTATTCACATGAAACCCTGCTGACGATACTGCTGCGAAATATTTCAAGCCTTGTGAACTTCACGTAAACTAGAAAAGCACCTTATGCTAAAATGCTAAACTGGCTCAGTACAAGTAATCGGCGTACATCTTTGTTTCGTTCTGGATACCCCTCTATAATACTTTTCTGGGTTGCACTCAACATGCGATTATTCACAGCTTGATGCAGAGAATTTTCTATGAAGCATTCGACGGTAGGCGAGAAATTAATAGAGATATTCCATGAAAAATTTTCTGTTTTGTTTGGCTGCATCTTTCCATGAAGATTTGGTCTCTCGTCTTGATGGCATGTCCTCACTACTCTCAGGGAGGAGTTGAGCGAAGCCAAAGCTCGGAAGTCCACATTGGTGCGCAACAGTTTGACGTTAATCAACGACCCAATGACCTTCGTTTAAGCGCGGATCTCGAGAGACAGCCTTAATTGACTTGGTATCTTTGCTGCAGTTAATCCAAATTAAAACGTAAAATCAACACAACCCAGCCAGAACATCCTGCCAGTCTGAAAATGCTTTGAACAGAAAGTAGCAGAAAGGATGCTTTTACGTGAAAGTGGGTAATTCTCCCTACGATGTTCTTCTGCGCGTCGTCGAAGCCCACCGACTAAGATTATTACATCTCAGATTGCAGCAACGTGGAGCAGGCCAGCGCTCTTCAAAATGCTAATTTGAGATTCATCGGAAATGATAATAACCAGAGGGGTCAAAATGCTAATTTGAGATTCATCGTAAATGATAATAACGAGAGGGGTCTCCAGTCGCAAATTAAAATTCTGAGAAGAATCCTCTCGTGTGGATTAGCTTTGAATCAACACGAGTGGACACATTATGACAAATCTACTATCATAATACTTTGACTGAGGTGACGATCAGTCACATCGCCTACTCAGACTCCAGATGCCTTCTTTTTCAGGCACTCTGTAATCAACACCACCCTTCTAAGAGTGATCCGTTGTTTGAATAGATCAGAAAGAAACTACCACTTCCAACAGAACCAACGTCGACTCGTTCGAAAATCTGGAATGCATAGTAACGCCAATCCTTACAATGATGGTCTAATATCAGTGTCACGCGAATTACTCCGCGGATATGGCAAGAAAATAAAGCGAAAGTTCGAATAGAAGACTAGAGAGAGAAGAGGCAAGAAAGCCAGTAGCTCTCGGCTCACCACAGTCAACTATAGGTACGGACTTAGCAGGCTGTACAGCCGGTGTTCGCATGAATGGCCCCGGCCGTAAGCGCGGTGGGGGTGACTTTAATGAAAATTCTTACTGAAACTGAAATGCTGGGATGCGGATGATTGCTTATGCATGTTCGAGGAGGCAGCGTTCTCAGACTCCTCGAATACCTTCAGATGGAGATGGGAAGAATCGAGACAGGGACGGAACAAAATATAGGATATCACATCAACATTTTTACCAATGGTCTTTCATTGATGGATTAGCAGATGCGAGCTTTATTGTCATCACGCTGGAGTCAATAGTAGATGACCTGCATCAAAAAGTGCTCATCCAGTCTCAGGGATTTCCGTGAAACAATTCTCTTCGTCCAGATATAAAGAAATTCTCTCATCGAAGCGAAACAACAGCAGAATTTATGTCACTTTTGAGAGTCTTGATTTCTCAAGTTCCCACTTGCAGCAGCTGAAGGCTCCCAAAGATTACTCTATGCTCTGCAGATAATCAGATCAAGAGCAATAACCATGAACGCAAAACTATTGTGCAAAGTAGAAACAGTGAAGTGCAAGCGATGTGGATAAAAAATAGCTGTGAGAATCAGGATTAAGGTTTCAAGAAAATCGTAGAGCATGTGCAAAAGCAAGCTCATGTCTTTCGGAAGCAAAAATTTATTGTGAGCTCAAAAGGAAAGAGCTGTTTGATGTGCAGGTTATTTTGAAATAAAAAAGAATGTTTTGTAGCAAAGATGGTGTGATGTGGAAGTACACTGGCATAGAATGCATGGAATCGCAGAGTACTCTGCGATTGTGTGAAACTGCTTGTACAATTGGACCGGGAAATGGAGAACCTAGCTGCATCAAGACCCACGGGAACACAGACCCTACGATGGGTAGCGCGTAACAAATATATATCATCCCCTTCCCTTCCTGCGATCGTCAGGTGAGGATTAGACACGCAATCGATCGGGATATTTTTTTCTACTTATTAGATTTAAAAGTGCTCTAGTACGTAACCAGGGACGAGATTCTTCAGCTCAAGGACTGGAGCACTTACTGGTACACCAGGTTCAATAAGAGTTCGGAAGCGGTCCGCATCGTTCTTCGTGGCCATCTCAGTGGGAGTGGAGCCCACTTCAATAGTCAGCTCATCAAAAGCAAATCGTGCGTGCTTTCGTTTGTGAACCGGCATGTGTGCTCAGATCCCCTGAGCTTCGTTCAGCTGTCCAAGTAATAACTGGAAAATTCTCTAGAAGCCAACTCTGTTAGACAGAGAGTATAATATCTAACTGATAGTATGGCTTTTGTGGACTCTACAGCAGAGTCCACAAAAGCCCGTCACTCATGGATCTTACTTCCTATTTCCTAAAGATTTCCTAAAGATTGATAAAATTAAGAGATATCTTCACCTACAGAGTTTTGATCTCTAACCATCAGATCTAGATTTCTCATGAATTTTTTCTGACATTTTGAGCCAGCTGTTAATATAATAGAACATGTTTTCCATCGTGAAAATGAAAACGTTATCGTTAACATGGCTCCATTGTGTACCATTTGATGTTACTTCTCTAAATCTTTTTATTAAGTTTCTCCGTGTTCGACCTGGAATACTTACACAATATGTTTTTCAGAAGAATCCCTCCATATGATATTTACCATCAACCAGTTCAAACCTCACCACAACATCAATCTTGCCACTAAAAACAGGCCTGCTGCCGTTTAAGCAGATCTGCACCACTGCAAGACACGCCCATTGCATGAATTTCCATGATCAGCGAGCAAAATGTCCTGGAATGCGTTCTGTGGGAGACTTTCCCGTACCTGATCTCAGTGTTAGCACGTCTAAAAACTTATCGATTTCTTCTACCACAGCCTCGAGATCAGTCCCTTCTGAATGAACTGCCTTGCTCAGAGAATTTGCAGAAGACAACCAAGCTGCCATTAAATTACTCCTGACAACAGTTGAAAAAAAAGCAAATAAAATGTTTTGATTGTCTTATGAATTATTCCGACCATCCAGTTCAGAATAAATTTCATCATAGATTACAGATAAAGCGCAAAAATTTGCCTAGCTGCAGTCAAGTATCTAAGAAGTCATTCGGACTTCTTACATCTTGACCCTCTTTTTCACAGACCCCGCAACATCCTCAGCGTAAAGCTAAGTTGTCTCTCTAATCACATTCCAGTCATTTGACTCACGAGGTTTCCGCAGCCGTATTTGTCTCTTCAAGAGCCTGCCGCTCGTAAGAGTGCACAT